ACTGGCTGTTGCCGTGAAGAAATTATGAAACCTTTCAGTACCCCGGTGCTAGCGAAACGAACGTATAGAGAATTGAAGTTACTCAAGCACCTGCGGCATGAGAATGTTTGTGCAATTTGAATTCAGGGTTTAACGTATCTTATACTCTAACGCCTTCACAGATTATCAGTTTAAGCGATATTTTCATTTCGCCACTTGAGGATATGTATGAAAGACGGCTTCCTTGGAGTCCAGATTGGACAATTGCTAATGGGCCCACTTGATTATAATAGATACTTTGTCACGGAACTGCTTGGGACAGATTTACATAGATTGCTCACCTCAAGACCACTTGAAAAGCAGTTCATTCAATACTTCCTGTATCAGATTCTTGTACGCTCTCCTACTCATGATCCTCATTCTGCAAAGCATTTATCGAATAGTTGCGGAATGTGTTTTGAGAAACGCCCCACTGACACCTGCAAAGCGAGGATTGAAATACGTTCACTCAGCTGGAGTGGTTCATCGGGATCTGAAACCAAGTAACATCCTTATCAACGAGAATTGCGACCTGAAGATTTGCGATTTTGGCCTTGCGCGTATTCAGGACCCACAAATGACCGGTTACGTTTCGACACGATACTACCGTGCTCCCGAAATTATGCTCACATGGCAAAAGTACGATGTTGAGGTAGATGTATGGAGCGCAGGATGCATCTTTGCAGAGATGCTAGAAGGCAAGCCTCTGTTTCCGGGGAAAGACCACGTGAATCAATTCTCGATTATCACGGAATTGCTAGGCACTCCTCCAGATGATGTGATCGAAACCATCTGTAGTGTCAATGTACGCAAATCCAAGAGGATCTAATAATAAATTTTGCATCTCCTTCAAAATATCTGACTGGAATATAGACACTGCAATTTGTCCAGTCCCTGCCGAAGCGGGAGCGGCAGCCCCTAAGCAACAAGTTCCAGAACGCAGACCCTCTTGGTACGGAACAGCTTTTTTTTCCCCGGCACATCAGATGCTGTTGGGACCACTGGATATAGGATATACGAATACTGATTGACAACAAAATAGCCATCGATCTCCTCGAACGAATGCTAGTATTTGATCCGAAGAAACGTATCACAGCGGGTGATTCTCTGGCACACGAATACCTAGCACCATATCACGACCCAACTGACGAGCCTGTGGCTGACGAGAAGTTTGATTGGTCGTTTAATGATGCCGACCTCCCTGTTGATACCTGGAAGATCATGATGTAATGCCCAGATCCCTCCCTCGTCTAAATTCTCATTAAATAACCTACTTTCGAAGACATGATTTCCTTTAGCCAGCGAATATCGATGACTAACGACTGATCATTGACGGATATTTAGGTATTCTGAAATCCTCGATTACCACAATGTTGACCAGGTAGCACACGATCCAAACAATCAAGTGCCACCCGAAACGGTAGAAGGCGCCACCCAACAGGTCGTCTCTTAATTTACAAAGGGACTGAAATGTGAGAGAATAAAATTCGAATACCGACTTAAATATAAATATAAATATCTATATATTTGAAAGTTGAGAGTCGGAAATCACCGCTTTCTCCCAGCGAGTCCTATTGATATACACCCTGCCGTGTTCAATAACAAAAACCAAACGGAATGAGCCAATGCATACCTAACAAGAGAAATTTCACGCCGTTGCGTTCCTTCTTTTGTCGTCTTGCTCTTTCGCAGTTAGTCATCATCACTCCTCTTCTTACTGCATGTACCGCCTCTGGCTATCACCTTTAACGGGATCCGTGGCGCCTTAATCTCGTTATACACTCATTGGTGTGCACGAGCGGGCCTCACAAATGCCATACCTTTGCACAATCTCACACAACAAAATTCTATGATAACGTTCTTTTCTCTCTTTCTAATGATCCATACCATTCCGCTGCATAACCGACTTCGGTTCCCTGCAATTTAATAAATCTTTGATGGATGAATCTTCGCATGCGCATACATTCCAATCCAAGTGTCATTGCCACCTATTTACTTCTGTGTCGTCATACATCGGTGCCGGAATTTTTGTCTTTGTTATCTTGTTTAATTCTGTGTGGCTTAAGAAGCTAGGGTTTCCCATTTCTTCTTTCCAACGTAGTGTGTTTCAATTGTGGAATGGTCGGGCTGGTTGATAACTTCTTTGGATAAGGAGGCGGATGAATATTACTTCGTGGTTAGGGGGATTATTACCACATTGCGGTCCTCATCTTTGCTCTTTATTCAATCCCCTCGTCCTTCCTTATCCGCTCGACGTCTTTATGACCCCCTTGCTTTGTTGGTCCAGCCTCTTTTTCATCCTACTTTCTAACATTCAATAGAGCAACAACTACCTCGCATTATCAGCCACGGTTGTTACATCGACGCCTTAAAAAGGATATAGCCCGTTTTTGTTTGCTTGCTATATGTTTTTTCAACCTCCTTTTTTGCTGTTTCCGTTTCTCACTCTCATTTCCTTTTAATCAAGAAGCAAACGATCATTTCATTCTCTGCCAAAGCATCCGGATTTAATGGAGGATTTTTCTTTTCTTTTTCTTTTGTTTTTGTTACATATTCTTTAGTTGAAACTATTATAGAGATATAAGGCGGATCATTCTTTTACGTTAAAAGAGCGCTTGAATACGTCTGAGTTCTACCTTACCCACGTGACCTTATCAGACAGCCCATCCATGGATCCCTGCCAACAACATGTGCAGCATCAACATCATTCTACCATTTGAGGGTAGACCCAGCAATGAGATAGAAAATACGCCTCTTTATTGATGCTTCGCTTCATTTTATTCACTTGCAAAAATTTATCTCCTTTCCTATCCAAACCCTTGTCGCCCAATCAGACGATCACCAATCCCCCGATTTGAGAAGAGTGCCGGAGAAGGATAACAAGGAAAAAATTAGAGAAGGGATAACGGAAGGAGCTTGCTTGGAGAAAGAAGGGCCAAAAGCAGTATATAAAATGCGACGTAGAAAAGATCGCGAACCTATTATCTTGGTTATAGATTTTCATCATGCCAGGTTAGTGAGCTTCCTGTATGACGTCTCCCCGGTCGTTCAATTAACGTGCAGTTATGCAGTGAGTTTGATCTGGGAGACAAAATTTACATATTTACATGTGCATCAAATTCCGTTTGAAAATCTCCACACTGTGTTCTTATTGTCTACTAACTTGACCGGGAAAATGTTGCAGAGGCCCAGAGGTTGAGCACTGCTTCTGCAAGCAGGGAGCTGATGTCCTTGTAAAGAATGATTGGTCTTTATTACCGTTTATGGCACTGTCAGATGGAGCGCATGCGTACGTCTCCAAAAATGCACCCTCCTTCTCACGCATTGTCAAAACTTTGTGTGTTCTTACTGAAGCCCAGATACTAACTTCTATTTTCCAGCTCCACCGAGGACTTCTCGTACTTTACACTCCAGCAGAGCGCATTGGACTCAGAGCCCGCGACCTCCCTCTTCGGAATATCATGCACACGCCAGATAGATTCTGCATCACTGATCAATCGACCCCCTGAAGTGACAAGATCGACGGTCCAGAAAGCGGTTGTGGCTGTGATTGATGAACCCAGGCATTTCGGGCAGTTGAGACAGAAGCTATCCATTGTTACATCCGCGTGGTTTGCGCAGAGGTATGTTTTGGTTGGAACAGTTAGTCCATGGAGGTGGATCTCTAAAAGATGACATAAAAGGTTGATTGGCGTTGGTGTGATCGAAATTGGCTATAAATGAGGATTGGGGTGGGGATGTCTTTGTTGTTATTTTGTCCTCTCCTTTTGCTGACATTAATTGGGGATTGTTAGGGATTTCTCGGATACGGATATTTTAAAGGTATGTGTCTGATACTTATGTCCATTGCGAGGTAGAATACGTCGCTCACTTAAGTCCTCTGCTGTCCAGATATTCCAAGAAAGCCTGGCGGAAAGTTTAGACAATGATGAAGGCCAACAGGATGGGATCTTGGGTAAGATACTGTGGAGTTCATTTCCCTTTACTTTGCTAATATTCTGCGGGAAGGCCTTTCGTTACGAGAGATGATCTATGAATTCAAACATCAGACTCTGGTCTTCTTTAAGTGCTTGTTACTTCAACCAAAAGTACGCAATGTACATTGTTCCCCCCTCGGAAGTCACCGAACATGTAGCTTACAGTCTGCTAGATGCTTTTCTTTGGCACCCGTTGCGAACGCCTCTGCATGATCCAATTTTCGCTTATTTCTTTGATACCCGGACTTATTCACCACCTTGAAGATTGCGCGGACCCGTCCTTTGATAGTTATGGGGAGTCTACTGTGAAACCTACGTCTCTCAAGACTAGTGAGAGGAGCTCATGTAAGCCACCTCAGCAATTGATCGTATGTATTTCCGATTATTGACAGATTATTAGTGCTGGCATATATGGGTTTACCTCTTCAGATCTTCGGCAAGGTTTGCTTCCCAATCCACCCGACCTTTCCACTAATAGATTGGATAGTTCTAAGTTTTTGTTAAGGGAAGCATGTTTGGTCCCTATATACCTCTCCAGCGCCTGGATCTCCTTGCCGATTACGGTACGAAGTCATACGTAGTTGGATCCACCAATTCCCTGTTGTTGCAGCAGAAGGACCGATACAGTGATATTCTCATCAATGTAAGGGTCGCAAATATTTGACATAAAACTATTGGTTTTTGTTGACGTGGGAAATCCATAGCTCGACGAAAATACGATCAACATCTCCTCGCCATCGTTAAGATCTGCCCTTTCTCTTTCCGCAGCTGACAGGCGATGGATTGATTTTCTCACACAAAGCATCTATGAAACCTGGGATGACGCCCAGCCAGAGCGGCCTAATACCCATGGATATTTGGGTTCCGAAGAATTCATCCGTCTTCAATTTGAAGAGTATCTATTAGCCCTCCTCTCTTGCGAAAAGCTCCATCATGAAATGCATTGCGGTTCGGGAACTTTATCACCAGGTTTAGATATTGAAGGGGACCCAGTGTCTGAGTTCGGTACACACTTCCTTGAGCGTTGGAGGACAACGCCGAACTATGCTCTGTTCCACCGGCTCACATCTGATTCTCATTTGTTCTCAATTGTGGAGCCACGCCATCCCTGCGCTGGCGGCCTGGGTATTCATGACATTCAACGACGACTTGCCCAACAAATAGCCGAGTTGCACTTGGATGAGCGAGTTCGTGAGGGCCGCGAAGCTCTCAACAAGCATTTGGCCACTAGCCAAAAGAGAGTAAACTTTGCATTCAACAGTTTCTGGGCTGACATAAACCAGCGCAAGAAAAACGAGCACCAACGGAGATACTCCGAAGAATTCGCAGGGTCTGAGTCGGTGGACAATAACTCAATATCATCTCCCAGAACATCGATTTCGACGATTGCAACCTCCAGCGGTGCAGGACCATGGACATTTGGCGCCAGAAAAGCACCAGTAGTTGACATTGCACAGGCACAAGCGACCGTCGCTGCGGCGGGGCAACGTGCATCTTCCTATTTTAGTTCCTGGGGCGCGTGGGCAAACGATAGGAGAAAGGAATGGCAAGAGAAGAAAGCCAGTGGCAACAATAGCCCGGTGTCATCGACCACCCCATTGGCTTTTCCTCAGAGCTTATCCCTAACTACCACACAGAGCTCGAATTATCCGGGTGATTTGGCTGGAAAGAACCGCGAGGGGGTACAGGGCAAAGGACACGATTATAGTGGTTCCGTGTCAAGCCCTAGCACGAGCTTTAGCCGCAAGGGATGGGGAAACCTACTATGGAAGAGCAGCGGCACTCATAGTTTTGATCCGGATATTCAAAATAATGTTAATCATAACAATAGCAGTGGGCAGATACCTCGAGGAAGCAGAGATTTAAACAGAAGGGATATTATTACTCCTGATAATGAGAACGACAGCAATCGCACTAATTCCAATGCCAGGATTGATGATGCCATTGCTGTCAGCTCAACAAATAATCCTTCCCCACCCGAGCTACCACCAACTGCATTGCCATCGCGAGACAAGGATTCCGTCCCACCGTCGATGGTCATATCTGCGCCCATTTCGCCACCAACTCTCACCGCCGCTGATAAACAACAGCTAAAGGACCAGCCTCTGGAGCCGGCAATTTCACCACTGAATCTCGATGAGCCAGTTCGTTGCGATCCATTTACAGTCGTGGACCTGTCCGCGCCTACCCAGTCGTTGTCGAATAGTGAGGCTACGGAAGATTTGAAGGCGGAGAAGAAGTAACACCTTGTTTGTTGGATAGGTGAAGGTAGCGGATGGCTCAATGCTTCTCAGTAAACCCTCAGCTTTAATTCCCCCCCCGCGCCCCCTTTTTTTTTTTGGTTACACAACCCCCTTTCCATTTTGTTCTGGTTCTCCCTCGGCGACGCATTTCAACAGTTGGGTTTTCTTTCTTTTAATGGATGTGCTGTGTCTGTATTCTTATTGATTTTTTACCTAATGCCAGAAACACTCTTACCTCTCCCTGCATCTATAGATACATTTCATTAGAATTTGTTTTCTTTTGTTCAGCTTTTATTCTTCGGGCTCGAGTACTTCTCATAATATCGCTGTTTGCTCTTTTCTGTTGGGGGGATGAAAAACCACCCCACCCTCATTCTCTGAAGAAATTTACGCGATTTGTTTTTTTTATTACTTCTGCATAGCTTCGAACTATTGGCATTTTCAAGCAGACGCATGCATTGGCTAATGTAATCAAAAACCTCTCTTTTCCTTCCTGACCAGTTAAATCCAGCTCAATCATTTCTTCACTCTAAAACACATTAGTTAATTCATTAACTACTGAATGGACTGCAAACAAATTTTAAGCCAGCCTACCCAACTCCCAAGCCAGCCCGGAACCAAAGGGTTTACAAGATAGAGGTACCTACCTGGCCGAGTCTTATGGGAGGAACTTGTTGAACGTGGCTAGAAAACTGTTCTCACCCTGGTCAACTGCTCCATAGAGTGTATTTTTCTGTGGCTGACAACTGAGCTCAGGCCATGCTGACCACTTGTTTAGTAAGTTGATGGGAATAAATTATCTATCGACTGTGCGCATTCTTGAAAAATATTGTGCCAAGCAGGAGACAAAAAAAAAGGAGGGGAGGGGGGGGGGGGGGGGGGGGGGGAAGGGTAATTACAATGTTGTAGAGGATTGTGAAGTTCTAGGAAAGGGTAGGAAAGGGGGCTAAACTCTATCCCCGTTTGTCCAATTCAAACCATGTTGATGCTCAGCATTTGGTATTGATCAATCACAACCTCAAAAGTGGACTTAGTTAACTAAACCATCTATGCGGCCCGACCACCGTAGAACCATCGATTTGCGCTGGGGAAACGGAAAACGAGAGCGTTATACTATTAGATAGTATAATATTAAATACAGATAATCTATTTACGGAGTTGTGGAACGATAAGAGGCAAGGCCTTAAACAGTTAGAGAAGGCTAAGAGAATTGATTCCTCAAGCTTGGTTGTTCAAGTCCTGCATTCTATGGTATTTTCCTTTGGGTTGATCTGACTTGCTGGGAGTCCATTCTCAAAAAATTTTTATTCTCATTTACCAAATATTTACTGATTGTTAATCTGGTGATAAGAGCTCCTGTTGAAACCGGAGAGTAAATGAAAATGAAATGATCTGAAACAGAGACTGGGAAAAGTGATATATTCATTTGAATCCTCTCAATGAAGAGTAAAATATCCTCATAGGGACAGGCATCTTCTAGATTTCTATCTCTGTTCCATCAACTTAAGAGTTTAATTGTGTACACAAGTAACAAAAGGGGGTATAAATTCTAACGAATCGTGCCAGTAGTCAAGTTGTCTCAAATCAATGCCGTCTTGGCTTCCTTGCCCATCCTGTTCGAAACTTCGTGGAATTGATCCGGGGGAAAATATGAGCTTCTGTGTTGAAAACCACCTCTGTGAGTGGGAGGAGTTCCCTTGGCGAGAATAAGAGGTAGAGATATTTCAGAGTCTCAGCCTGGATGAAAAAAGAAGATTAGTAACCCAGCTGCTTATTTTAAGTATCTTAAGGGTGCTGCTGCTGCTGCTGCTGCTGCTGCTGGTAGATAACTGTTGAACCTACCAGCCAAAAGCTCTCCATGTTATCCCTGGTCGCAGGTGGGATACTATTTACGTCGCCAAGAGATACATACCCTTCCCCATGGGAAGGAATGGTATATTTCTCAAACGCCTCGAATATCTCCCAACCCCATTCCCGATACATGGGGTCCTCAGTTATCCGCCACATCATAAACAGGCTTTCTATCGTTTCCGGACGCTGTCGGTTATGCGCATCAAGCGGCATGACAATGTAATCTTGTTTCCAGCCGGAAATGGAATCTCTGCTGCGAGGAAGGCGACTCTTTCCCGGAACAGGCTTGAGGTCCGCATCGTCCGCATCGAACCAGGTGATTTCGGGAGCCAACCCTGTCTTCGTGACTTTGTACATGCCCCAGCATGTCTTGATAAGCTCTTTGGCAAGGTTCATCTGCTTCTCTTTCTCGTCGCTCCAACCGTGGCTCTTTTTCGCTTCTGCTACTGTGAGCCCGCCAGTTACACCTGATGCAATTGTTCCTGGCAAGAAGCAGACGAGGTGATCCATCTTGGGGGATAGTTTACCGCCAATTCCAGAGGGCAATTCGGAGACAAAATGCATGTTTGAATATTTCGTCGTGGTGATCATGTGCTTTTGGATTCCGGATAAGGCTTCAGACCACATTTCAAGATAGATTGGTTCAGAGGTCTGCAGATACTGTTTTAAGAGATATTCTGTTTGTAGTCAGTTTGAGAGTTCTAGTGAGGATTAGGATAGCAGGCGGAGTATACCGTAGTATGAATCACCGCGACTCCCGAGGCGAATTTCATTAGTTGTAAAGCGACCGCTTTGTGGGTCTACAAAAATGGGGAGGAGGCCATCTTCCATGACGTTGTCGTCAAGGGTTTGCATTACTTTCTCCGCTTTGCGCCAGTATATTTCATTGCCAGTAAGGTTGGCGAGATATTTCATTTCCAGTTGGAGACTTGCTGCTTCCGCCATCGAAGAAGCTCCGCCGTCAGCATGCGAAACGATTCCTTGTTTTGTCCGCAGGTGGATACTTGCATACGGGATCCCCGATGGGGATTCATATGCACCGAGAAGTCGATCTGCCAGGTCAACCGCCTTTGACAAATATACGAAGTCTCGTCGAGAGGCGGCACCTGGGAGTTGGCCTGAAAGGTAATGTGCAGAGAGAAAGCCGCCGAGCATGCGAATCGTCGTCTCAAACGTGTTGACGTCTTGGTCTTGATCATATGTAAGTTTACGTTGGAGCCATTTGCGGGCGGCTCCCAGTTGAGTGGTTAGGTTCATGATCATCATTGTGTCTAGGCTGTCAACAATAATCCAGCCCAGGCCCTCCGGGCTCATTTGGGTGCCTGTTTTCGAGATTGGGTGGAATTCATCCTGGCCTGAGGAAGCGCGGGATGGGGAATGTTTAGTTTTTGTTAGTCCACACGTCGAGTCTATGAGTTTACAGGTAGGTATTGGCAAGGACTATCAGAACGAACCCCAGGCGTATTTTGTATAGGCATCCCAGCTGTTCACGAATGCGTCCTTAACTCTCTCCCGGCGATATTCCCAATTGCTTGTCTTCCATCTGTAGAGACGCAAACCATCTGGCAAGTCATTGATATGCAAAACCACACCCAGTAAAAGAGAAACACAGGCAGCAAATAATGTCGCAAGTCTCAGGGTTGCTCTCAATGTCCATGTTGAAGTCTGCGTGGTCCTGATGGGTGATTTCTTGCCCGACGAGCTCATTTTCGCGCCAGATTTCAGCCCTTTTTTATCTTTTCGCTTTGGGGAGACGGGAGATGATCTAAACCACACATCCTTCCATGACTATATTCTCCTTGCATTGTTTATTAACCATGATGCGGGGTGGAAATGGTGGGGACGAGTAAAAGGAAGAAGTCAGGCGTTTAGCCTCACCGTGGCGGATAGCCTGTGCGCGATATAGAGTTCAAGTTTGAATAACTATCCAATCTCTCGCTATTACCACTAAACATAGAGATAGAAGTTAATCTTATCCACAGATTATCGTTCTCCATATTTTAATACGAATGCCACAAGGGAGTTCTTTTCTTGAAACAGTAATATTTTATTTTTCTTATTTATCCATTTTTTGATATGCAAAATTGTTGTGTTAACTAGCTATGTGTAAATTGCAGAACTTTATTGGAGATGTTACTAGTGCCTGGGCCTGACTATCTCCGTATCGCTGACTGCGCCTGCTGGTTAACTTGGTTAAAAATGTAGAAATACGGATTAATAGCTCAAACATATTCGACATCGGTCGTTAACCCAGCAATGCCAGGTAAATTTCTCGACGGAATTTATACTCACGGCTTCACAAGGAAAACCGCATTTCTTTTTACCTTTTCTTCGGCTAACCAAACATAACCGATCGGCTATGCTGTGCTTACTCAGGCTGACAGGAGAATCCGATGTATCCCTTTGGCTCTTTCTCCCCACCATTGGACGCAATTGTCGCCATACTCGAAGTGGTTTACATTGCACCGCAGCTTCGTAATCATGATTTTTATGGGGCTTATTCCCTTTTCATAGTTTGGGGCGCTTCCCAGGGTTAACCTATCTATATCTTTGTGCGTGCATCGTTTGCCAGTGAGCAGAACTACCGAGGTTGAATTAAAAAACGGCCTCAAACGAGTGTCCACAGAAACGCTGGGCATTGAGTTGTTTCCCTAGGCCTTGGGATAGTTGAGAACCCTACATTCCGGACAAATCGCAAATCTCTCCCTCCTCTCAATCTCTGCTCTGATATCAGATCGTCCTATCCCATTTTTTCCCCCTGTTCTTCAGCGGCTTAGCGGCTGTGCAGAACGTTATCATAGTTTGCAAGCAGAAGCATCCGAAGCCCCACTGTTTGCCGCTGCCTCCAACATAATCTTGCGAATCATCCCTCACACGCACGTTCGTTCGTTACAATCCTCCATAACATGGGTACCAACAAAGAAAAAACCCCTTGGGACAAGATTCAGTCCATCCTCAACACCGCTTCCGCCTACCCTGAGACCTCCAGTTGGGATGCGTCATGTATGAAGGCCGTCAAGCTCGTCAAAGTCGAGCCGAGCACCGTCGAATTCGAATTCACAGTGACAGGGCGAATGTGCAATTCGCTGGGAATATTACACGGCGGCTGCTCAACGACGATTCTGGACGTGCTAACGTCGGCAGCAGTGCTGTCAGTTCCCGGTAGCGACCCGACGCTTTCGACGCTCAGTCGGACATTGACAGTGACCTTTCTGAGGCCTATACCGGTGGGTACAAAGGTGAGGGTCGTGGTTCAGCTGGTGGCTGCGGGGAAGAAGTTCGTTAATTTCACAGGGAGTCTTCTGACGATGGATGGGAAGGTTTGTGCTAGCTGTGTGCACGACAAAGCGGTATTCAGGCAAGGGAGATTGTGACGAAAGCGGGACTAATCTTGATTAGATGTGAGGGTGGATGATCCGGTTATTGACTAAAGGGGCAACGGATGGATAAATAGAGAGAGGTAGAAGTAGAAAACATCTGGTCCTATTGAGGAGGACCTTTGCTCCATTTGAAAAGAATAGTACTTTGCATTTTGAAGCTCACGACGGGCTTGCATGAAGTGAGGCGACAATTAGATACTATAGCGCCTTCAATTTTTTGTTTTCATTTTTTCCCAGGTTTAATTTGTATAAAATACTGTAGACAAGTCCGGAGCTAGATGAGGAGTAGGGATGGCTTTAATATTATGCCCGAAGCATCACTCAGAATTAGATGGATAAGTCCCCACGGTGAGAAGTCGATGATCAACCGAATCGTCTCGTCAAGCGCAAGTGGAAGCCAGAGTGTCCGTCTTTCCCGGAACAGCCGGTTGGATCTCCATGATGTAGTCGGATGGCCACAAAGACGCATGTAGTATTAGTGTTTTAAACAATGCACACTCTACTAGTACTTCTATCCTCTTAGACTTTTTGATATCGTTTCCAATTCCTACCTTTTTCTTAGTGCATGCAGCATGTTTAGCAAATCAAACTGCATGTGTGTTTATCATCACTCGCCCCATTGGATCTCCCAGGATCGAGGAAGTTTACTAGTAAAGACTGTTGTGCCAATAGGTTCTGGAACGTGTTTCCTCACTCTACGGGCGCATCACTCACAGAACTTGGAATGCCATTGACCAGGAATGGCTCAAGTGACTTTCCCAAGGGATGCTGAGTTCTCTGCTGGGATCAAATCAGGTATGCGATCGTACCATCGCCCCGCCAGATACGCCTCCAGCGACTGATGAGGATGTTGCAGAAGGAAGCCATATTTTGTTGAACATCTTATTCATATTCAAATATCGCCATCTCTTCTCCTGTTCCGCTTCTCTCAGGGAACTGGCCGATTGACTTCAGAGGTGTGTCGCACTTGACTGTTTGTTGCGGTGGAAGACTTAAATACTTTACTGACTTCCCCGCCAGATACAAACAACCCCTCCGCTGACGGCTATTTTGCTAATCGCTATTTCCCCTCAGTCGTCTAGAATACCAGTATCCACTGTGCATTCTTTATTCACAGGTAACTACTATATTATTTTTTACGCATCATTCGTTATCATAACATACATTTCCACCTCCTTGCTTGCGGGGCCGTCATTGTGCTAAAACGTCGTCATAATCACCCCGCGAATTGCATCATCCTCGCGAAATTTCTCCAAAAGTTCCAGTTAACAAACACGTTCAAATATGCGATAGATATACGCATTCCCTGAAGAATTTCTCCAATTAACCGCACTGCCAATCAACTACGACTTGCCAATTCATCGCCAGTCATGACCAGTCCCACCCGCGAACGTCGTCCGTCAATCGGAGCTCCAATATCAGATCTGCAGGGACCCGTTGGACCTGGATTCAGCCGCCCGAAACATAAACGTACATTTACTGGGTTGCTGCCCCAGGATATCAAAAAAGTCGAAGCCAGCATCCCGGAACCGCAGCGAGAAGCGTATGTATTGCTTCTGCACACACTCCCCACCCTAGGGCTGCCTTTCAGTATCGGAAAAATTGCCTATTGTTACTAGGTGGCTTTGCATTGAATTTTCTAGGGAGGAAGTTAAGCTAATGTTTTGTTTGAACATGTAGCTGGCGCAAGTTTGTATGATTACTGTCCTTGCCTTCGAATATTTCCTGTTTAATAGGTGTATGAGTACTAACAGCGTGTCTTTGATGACTTATGGTAGTCTGCAGAAGAATTCAAGACGAAAGATGAATTCGGGGTATGTATTGTTTTAAATCATTTTTTTTTAAACAACCTTTTTTCTGGAGTATTGGAAGCTTATTAACGAAAGGAATAGAAAGAAGTTGTTCGCCATGTCGAGACTACCCTTGCTCGGTCGCTCTTCAACTGTGATGAATTGTAGGTTCTTTGCGTAGACCCCCCAAGGAGTATGTCAATTCCAATTCGAATGAGCTCACTGTGTCCATAGGGCGGCATATTCTGGCACTGCATTGGCATTTCGTGACCGACTTATTATTGAATGGAATAAAACTCAACAGCGACAGACATTTGCAGACCAGAAGAGAGTTTACTGTATGTATTTAGCCCCCGGGTCTGTTTCGCGATTCTGCTGACTCTGTAGATCTTTCTCTTGAATTTTTGATGGGGCGAGCTTTGGACAATGCGATGCTGAATGTGGGATTGAAGCAAGTTGCGAGAGGTATGATACCCGTCCCCGGTCCTAAGGTCACCACTAATGCAACTATTGTAGACGGTCTGAAAGACCTTGGCTTTCGTATCGAGGATGTCATTAGCCAAGAGCATGATGCGGCTTTGGGAAACGGCGGACTTGGACGTCTTGCAGCCTGCTTCCTTGACAGCCTCGCATCTCTTAACTACCCTGCATGGGGGTATGGATTGCGATATCGATACGGCATTTTTAAGCAAGAGATAATCAACGGCTATCAGATTGAAGTCCCTGATTACTGGCTCGATTTCAACCCATGGGAGTTCCCTCGCCATGATGTTACTGTTGATATCCAGTTTTATGGTTCGGTTAGAAAATATCAGGATGAAAATGGTAAAACTAACTACTCTTGGGAAGACGGAGAAATTGTTCAAGCAGTTGCCTATGATGTGCCCATTCCTGGCTATGCAACACCAACAACCAACAACCTCCGTCTTTGGTCAAGCAAGGCTGCCAGTGGGGAGTTTGATTTCCAAAAATTCAACGCAGGCGAATATGAAAGCGCTGTCACTGATCAGCAGCGCGCGGAGACCATATCGGCTGTTCTCTACCCTAATGACAGCCTTGACCGCGGCAAGGAACTGCGCTTGAAACAGCAATACTTTTGGTGTGCGGCTTCACTTTATGATATTGTTAGGCGATTCAAGAAGACTAAACGCGCATGGTCAGAGTTCCCTGATCAAGTGGCGATCCAGCTGAATGACACGCATCCAACTCTTGCAATAGTGGAACTGCAGCGAATCCTCATTGACCAAGAGGGACTAGAATGGAATGCGGCTTGGACTATCGTTTCCAGCACATTCGGCTATACGAATCACACTGTTTTGCCCGAAGCCTTGGAGAAATGGTCCGTTCCTCTGATCCAGACCCTCCTTCCCAGGCATTTGCAAATTATCTACGATATAAATTTGCTCTTCCTTCAAATGGTGGAGAAAATGTTCCCGAAGGATCGTGATCTGTTAAGGAACGTTTCGATAATCGAAGAGTCTCAGCCGAAAATGGTTCGAATGGCTCATTTGGCAATTATCGGATCTCACAAAGTCAATGGCGTGGCAGAGCTACACTCCGACCTCATCAAGACGACTATATTTAAGGATTTCGTCGAGATATATGGACCGGACAAATTCACAAACGTAACAAACGGCATCACCCCTAGAAGATGGCTCCACCAGGCCAATCCTCGCCTCTCTAATCTCATTGCGTCGAAGCTTGGTGACGGCTTTTTGAAGGATCTCACGTTACTCGATAAGCTTGAGGCATACATCGACGACGAATCTTTCAGGAGAGAGTGGGCGGATATCAAACATGCTAACAAGGTTCGCCTTGCGAACCATATCTTTAGTACCACCGGGATCCGTGTCGACCCGAAAGCGCTGTTTGATATACAGGTTAAGCGGATCCACGAATACAAGCGGCAACAATTAAACATTTTTGGCGTAATACACAGGTATCTTAAAATAAAAGCAATGAGTGCTAACGAACGAGCAAAACTTGTTCCTCGTGTGTCAATCTTTGGGGGGAAAGCTGCACCAGGATACTGGATGGCGAAATCCATTATCCATCTTATCAACCAAGTGGGGTCGGTTGTTAACAGTGATCCGGATGTTGGTGATCTCTTGAAAGTCATCTTCGTGGAAGACTATAACGTTAGCAAGGCGGAAATGATTTGCCCTGCTTCGGATATCAGCGAGCATATCTCAACCGCTGGTACGGAGGCTAGCGGGACAAGTAATATGAAATTCGTCCTTAATGGGGGACTTATAATTGGCACATGCGATGGCGCGAATGTGAGTCCACCTTATCATGTTCCGAATGACCCAACTTCTAATCATATACATATAACCCCTAGATCGAGATTACCCGCGAGATTGGAGAACAAAACATCTTCCTTTTCGGTACTCTCGCTGAAGACGTTGAAGATCTCCGCCATGCCCATATTTATGAGAAGGATAACGTCACCCTAGGTAACCACCTGACCGCTGTCTTTGATACCATCAAGTCAGGGACGTTTGGCGATGCCAGCTCATTTTCGGCACTGATTTCGGCAATCACCGAACATGGAGATTACTACCTGGTCTCAGACGATTTCCATTCTTATATCACGACGCAAGATATGGTGGATGAAGCCTATCGGGATCAAGATGGCTGGTTGGAGAAGTGTATTTTGAGCGTGTCGAGGATGGGATTTTTCTCGTCTGATAGGGTTATCGCGGAGTATGCGGATAGTATTTGGAACATTGAACCAGTTGATGCTCCGGAGTAGGGTGAGCTCTCATGTTATGATTGGGCTTTTCAGACCGTGGAGTGGAATGGTGGAAATGATTCCAAAGTGGCATTGGATATTCGTTCGTTTGTCAGTTAACTATTATTACTATTATCCAGAATTGCGATTTCAAATGTTTTCCGGAAGAAGTAGCGCAGTCTCAATAAGTCCCACAAAGGCGGGAGCGGCCATGTGTCGCGATTCCAGATTTCTCCAAACGAGCGTCTATTTCGAGATTGTTTACTCAAGCAACCTGTGATTCGCATTTTATATTAATACACAAATAAAGTCTTTTCGGCCAATTTACCAACACCTCCATGGTGCGTTCATCCACTATGCTTTTCTATGCAGCCCCCAATCGCATCTCTAACGTCCAATTCCAATTCCTTCTCCATCCCATCTCGGGTCCGTGTATTTCTCTGCATGTACAGTACATATAGCACGATTCCTCCACCCTTGCGTGATTCCAAAACCACCAGGGTTGCCTGTTCACTCCCATTTTCGTTAAAATATCCGTGCCAGTGAGACAGTAACAGCAATGTTAGCGGGTCCTTGTGGTGTAGCGGGTTGCGGTAGGCAGGTTCTACGTGAGTGATGAAGGCGATGAAGAGGGGGGGGGGGGGGGGGGGGGGGGAAGGAAAAAAAAAATGGAGTATGGGGTTTTAAAGGGGAGGCGAAGAGATGGTGGAGGAGTTTGCAAGAGCTGTGTCCTCTCTGGCGGAATTGCAGGTGTCCACCATAACTATAGAGGAGCTAGGAGCGAAACAAATCCTCCCCCCCCTCCCTCCCGTAGAGAGTCCATGCATGATCACCAACGACGTCAGCACATTCAGAAGGCAAAAAGCAATAATTTGCTCCTCCTCGCTATCGGCATGGTCTGCCAAACGCATCGTGAACCGCACTGCCCGTCCTCAACGGCTCAGCTAACTTCCAAACCTCCTCTCCTCCTCTCCATCACTAGTCGCCAGCTTGTCGCCAGCCAGCCCAGATCCCTATGTGACGGGGGTTTCAAGGACCAAGCATCCTCTGCCCGGCTAGCTTCCGCGTACGAAACTGTGATAGCAGCGATGTAATGTGCGTACCTGAAACCTAACCTACTAACCCCCCACAAGTGCGAATTGTTGTTGCCTGAATCCTCCTACTCTCGCTCTGAGAGAGGGGGGGAAATATAAAGAGAATTTCAAACTGGTGACGAAAGTGATAACCCATGACATATATATAAATGCAGCATAATATAATAGGGCTTAAATTATGGAAATACCCATCCCAAGTTTATTGCTAATATACAGACTGGTATGTATAGCGTATTCTCTAACGGAGTCTAGAGATGTAAAAGCTCACTTGTTCGGTGAAGTATGCCAAGCAAGGAAGAAGGAAAAGATCAAAAACGTCCAAATATGCGTGTACGCGATGATAGATGCGGATGTGCTGGTTATAAGATAGAGTGACAAGCCCAACTCTTTTTATAAGGTACAAAAACCGCCGTAAACCGCTGTAATGATATTGGTTGTTTCTCCAGTACCGGTTGAAACACATGGCAAAAATCCAGGGAAACTGTATGGAGATCCAGAGGCAACGTGTAGGAAGACTTGAAGGTTAAATCTGACAATTGGTGTGATAAATGGTATTTTGGTCGTTGAGCCGAATGCTGAGAATATAGCAACAGTTGGCAAAGACCGCAACACGTAAACTGCAAAATTCAATTTCATGAGGCTGTAAGCTCCGAAAGCCTCTTTTCCAACTCCGGCACTGCACGGAGCTGGAGATCGATTTCTTCCTTCTCACTGTTTTATTTTTCGGACAGTTAGTGACGAGCATAATCACGAATATAAAGTAGAGAGGAAGGGAAAAGTTGGTAGCTTGAAAACACTTACTCCTCAAGTCTCAACCTCTTCTCCCAATCCAGGCTGGTGAAAATAAAATTGCCCTGTCCATCAAACTGCAAGATCTTCTTATGATACTTCCACAAACTCCGTCGATGAGATACAGTCATCAGCGTCACCCCGAGCTTTTCTGCTGTCTCGTACATCACCTTCTCAATCTCCAGCGTAACGGAGGACGTGCACTCATCTAAAATAGCGTATTTTGGTTTATGGTAGAAAAGCCTCGCCATGGCAACGCGCTGCTGTAAGCCACCGGAAAGGACATCGCGCCACTCTTCCTCCGCATCCCACCCGCCTGGTCGGTCAACGATGGAAGCGATCTTCACTACACTGAGGATCGTATAGAGATCTTCGTCAGTGACGCCCTTAGCGCGCATCTCGCGTAGGCCGTCCGGGTATATGACCTGCTGCCTCAATGTACCGCGGGACAGGTAGGGCCGTTGTGGGATGTAAAAGATGTCTTCGAATGAGGGTTTTTTGACGGTCCCGCCATATACAGGCCATAGGCCACCCAGGATTCGGAAGAGAGAGGACTTCCCGCACCCGTTAGGACCAACAATGAGGAGATGGTCGCCGGGGTAAACGGTGAAAGATAGTTTCTGAACCAGAACGTCCCCGTTGGGAGACACGATAGGGACATCGACGAACTCGATGAAATCGCTTTCCATGATCGTGCCGCGACCGCGGAGGACGGCAGCGTTCTCCTCCGTTGAAGCGGATGAAACGAGTTTCTTTTCAAAATGTCCAGCTGCAACATCATCGATGACGTCTAGAAGAGATGTTACGCGAGCGGTATGGCCGGCTAGCTGCGAAATTTCCTTGTAAGAAAACATCACCCGCCCGAAGGCATCGGACGAAGATAGTAGCAGCCGCCTGTTGGTGACAAAGCCTGCATCAAAAATCAGTACATAAATCGTTTATAGCGTGTATGTGGAACTTACTCTCTGTCCTATCCCCCATTGTCGCCGCGGTCTGCCCAGGAAGCTTAAAGAAAACTGGAACACTACACAAAGCCAGCCCAAGGGCGCCCCAGAAATACTTAATCACAAAGTCCTCCATGAAGCCATAATACAGCCTCCTTCGCAAGATGCGATTCACGTGTTTTATGAGTGTAAAATAACCCTTGTCCAAAGTGTCCTTCTCTACTTCATGGCCACGGTACAAAGCGATCTCTTCACTGTAATCAATAAGTCTCGTATGCTGGAATCGAAACTCTCCCTCTAACCGTGCTTCATCGGCAACGTATTTCCCAAAAGGTGGCGTGAGGATGCGCATCACGTTTGCAGATAATTGGACAAGGAGTGACATGATGAAAAGACCCTCACCGCCCACGCTCTTCGACAACGAATAATTGTAAATAGCCATGTCAAGGATTGGCTTGGCGAGGTTAGAGTACAGTTCTGCCAGACTATTTGAAAAACGCGAGATGTCGACCGCTATGAGTTGGTCTGGGTTCTTGATCCGGTCATCCAAGGCAGATAGGGTATAAAAGGACATGTTCGCCAGGTAATGGTCATGTACGTAATCCGTCAGACGTTTTCGATACTGAAGAGCTAGTTGACATGGGTGATAGGAAAGCTGTTATAACCAAAAGACGGTTAGTAAAAGCAAAATCCGTATAAACTCCACATGCTCCCGAAACGATTCGCGAGCAAGCCTAACCAATGGGGAAATGAATGGAGCTACATACCATTGAATTCGTAAACGTCGCCGGGACAGCCACGGCCATCCACCACGTAAGGCTCAGCAAAAACTCCCTCCCCTTCCCTCTCACCAAACTACTAACCATCTTCCCATCTAGTTCCGCAACATACACACTCAACAACGTGCGCAGCACCAAAAAAACCGAATGGCTAGCCAGCAACCTCAGTTCCTTGCTCTTCCATCCGGGGATAATAATCTTCAACAAACGAAGGAGATTCTTGACGAATTCCCAATTCAACTCCACGTTCTTTCGTGCCAGGCTCTCCGCCCCGCTATTAGCTCTGCCATTATTATCGTCAGTTCCACCATCCCCGTTGCCATTAATATTGCTCGTGCCTGGCCGTCCGCGGATCTCCGCTATGCGCTGGGACGCCGCCTTTTGCTCCGCGATTGCATTGTGGACGCGCTTGATGAGGGCGAGGAAGAGGGTTAGGTAGACGCCCCTCGAGATGAGTTTGCGGTGTTTGAGGTAACGGGTAGTGAGGGAGGAGAGAAGGGATTTGAGGGATGCGTCTGCAACGGAGAATTTGGATTGCGCAGCCATATTGGAAGTTCCTAGTCTAGGATTGGAAAAGTGAAAACCGCGCAAATATCGGTGGTTCGTGGGCTCGTGACAAATAACGGGATGGTTGATACGTTGTGAAACGTAGTAATATATAAAAAAGAAATCACGTAATTACTGGCCTCGTCTTTCCTGAGTCGTCCTATATTACCAGCTAAATAAAAAAAATAAAAAAGAACTAAAATAGAAATATTGTGTTGCAAGGACGCAGGGAACCTTTATTAGCCAGTGATGCTATGGCGTCATGGATGACCTAGCTATCTTTGGCAGCTTTTTTTCTATGAAGGCAAAGCAAAACCAATGAAATGAAAACGAAATAAAGAAGAAACTATACGTAATTGAACAAAAGTCAATTAGGTCAACGAAGCAGAAGGTTGGAAAGGAGAAAAGAGAACGCAGAGCAACATTGAAGGAGATTTGAATTGAAGATGAACCCTGTCACTTGACTCGGCGGTTTTGCGTGCATGTGAACCAGGAAAGGTCGGGCCGAAGGTTGTCCCGGATTAGTTACGTAACAGCCTTCGCCGGGATCAAGAAGCCTTCGTGTATATGGACTAGTATTTTATATCAAAGAAGATTGAAATATGGATGAAATAAGGCATCGTTACCCCTCGCTAAATACGTACATCACAAAAAAACTTCCGCATCATCGTTGAAAAAAAGAGATGATTTGAGAATATGGAAGAACGGAGAACGCCGGAAGAAAACGAAAAGAAACAAGAACGGCACACGCCATGAACATCAGTATTATATTGTAAAAAGTTAACAATAAAAGTAAACTGAAGAGGCCGTTATTTTTCTCGCTGTACTCCCAGTGCTGATGTGAAATACTCAAGTCGATCACCAAAAAAGCGAGGAGAGACACCGCATTCAAAGGTAATATAAAGTTGTGTGCGTAACCAAAAATGCAAGAAAGCCGCAAACACATGAAATTGCAAGCGGGTTCACAGATGCAAGTTTGCATATATATGAAGAAGGATATTCCACAGAATGGAAGCGAAGGTGGGATCGGGAGGCATGAATAGCCCCAGGGGGGAACATGTTTGTCTCCCCAAAACCAAGTGCAGACATTTCGCAAGTGGAGGGCAATGTACAGGGGGGTCAAATGGACAGTGAATTACGACCGTAGAAATTATATAAGTAAGCAATATATAATGCAGAGAGTGAACGATATGCAAAACTTTCGTAAATTTGTCAACTGGTAGGTATTAAATCAAACGGAATATTGGATAAATAGGTGAAATCGTATCCTGACGTGAACCGTGCATAGAAAGACTGGGTTACGTAGCCCCACAGGAGTAAGAAACCCATAGGGGGTAAGTCGGGTCGGGAAAGGTTTCATCCCGTCCCTACCAACCCCGCATTAATCTGTGCCGCTATCTGGCTAGCCTTAAAGGTTTCAAAAGACTCCGGATCTTGTTCGCGAAGCGCAAGTAACTCTTCTATATTCGCCCCTAGCTCTTCGAGCGCTTTATCAGGCCCTACAAGCTCGATGCGAGACCGCATTTCAGAACTCCGGAGACGCTCGAGCTTTTTACGCAAGGCGTTAATTCGCGCCTCGTCCGGGCCTTGGGAGGGGTTATCCGCCTCAACTTCGAGGTCAGTGCAAATGATATCCCTGCTGATATGTTGTTGGAAGCGGTGAACTCTGCCTTCCTCTGAGGTGAGGGCTTTCGAGTGTAGGGATGTGTTTGAGCTCGTGCGAGATAAACGAATGGAGTAACGATCCGCCTCTTCATCGTCGATGGCTGTGTCTGGATATTGATCATTATCTGGGCTCTGGCTTAGGTTGGTTGGGGCAAGAATTGCGGAATGGTCTAGTTTAGACTGTTCTCCATAATCGCCCACGGATGAGTGGGACGGAGTCCGTTGAGGAAGTGAACTTCTGGTGGGATCTAATTGGGCAGAAAGGCGTGTATCTGGGAATTCATCTTCGAAGCGTTGGATTACCCTTTGCAGGGTAAAATCGAGAAATTGAAGTCGTCCTATCAAGAAGTATAATTTGTAAGTTATTGCTTTTTGGATAAACGAAGTATAGCAAAAGCATTAATGAAGATAACATACGATACTTCGATTCATTGCCGGCCCTGTCCTCTCGAACAAGAACCGGTTGCAATCGAACACGGATTCTCCGGGCAGAATTTAAGAGGTTCTTCGACATGTCCCGCGGCTTTTTGTTTCCAACGCTGCTTGTGCGATGGAGTGGGCTAGACATGCCGCTGGGAGGTGGGGTTATATCGCCCATACCCTCCAGAGAATGGTGGTTGGCATTACCAAGGCAGACTCCTAGAGCCTTTACCAGCCCGGTACCGCCAATAACATAATCCTCATCAGGAGCTAGTTTCGCCGGATCATTTCCCTCATCATCCACGTTTCCAACAATGTGCCTGATGATATCTGGAACGGGGACGGGGTGTTCTTCCATAGTTGTGCCGTCAGAAAGTTCCTTCACAAGTTCACCACGCTCGAGGTTGCGAAGAGAATAGGCTACAATTTGGGCTGCTAGGGCCTTGACAATTTCATTGTTGTCTGCAGCCGGCACGTCAATATCTATTGCGATGAGGGTATGTGAGACGCGGACCGCTGTCATCAATGATGCATATAATGCGCAAGCCTCTTCCTGGGCAGGGGCGTCCTTGGCTGCGGCCAAGGCGGCAATGGCGGGATTCTCTAAAATATTGATATGACATAGCCGATTGCAATCAGGTAATATTTCCGCAAGAGCAATGGCATGATCTGGAGAGAGGCTGACGTCCGCCAAGTGTATTCTCTTCAATTCAGCCATTTGTGGAAGATAGTGTCGTAACATTGCAAGCGAGTCTGGCTGATTTGCAAACAGGTTCGGATTATGGGAAAGGTCAATAAATCGGAAATTTGGCAACCCCGCTAGTGCTTGGAGAAGGGAATATAGAGGCTTTGGTGTTAAAGAACAATCTGCCAGGCTTAAAGCACAGAGTGGATGGTCTTTCATCTTGTGAATCGCCGACGACAACGATCCCAGATGGTCTCCGAGATTGTTTCCTCCCAAATCAAGTCCCTCGCAGAAACCAGCCTGCAAATAGCGTATGACATGTCCCAATCCTTCCGCTATCAAGTTGTTGTTTGCGACTCCCAATCTTCGGAGTTCGACAGTCGTCGCCGCATCGCAAATTTTGGAAAGATCTTCAGTAGACGGATAACATTCACTGATTACTAGCTCTTCCAAGTGGTTTCCCGCAAGCCGCTCAGTTAACGCCTTCGCGAAAACCGTAGATACTTCCACCGTTGGATTGCTGGGTTTTGACAAGGGGCTAGTTGGCCTGTTCGCGGGAACCGGAGCCTGCGGGAAGGGAATTCCTGATAGATCGATGCCGATGAGGGATCTTGACATATGAATGAAAAGCGCGATGTGCCGCCATCCATCGTTACCGATCTTGGGATTACCCTTTAAAGACAACTTTTCGATTACACCAGTTCTCTCCCCACTGCGGGATACATGGCCACCGAGCTTCTTGCAATGTCTTCGTAACCTTGATTCTTCGAGAGTTCTTGTGGACAACAATCCAGAAAGGATAACCCGTATCGCTTCATCAGTGAGGCCACAATTTTGTAATATTAGTTTGCGGACGGGAACAAGAGCAAGCCAGTCGGCAAAGGTAACAACGTCCGGTAGCGTCATGCAAAGTCCACTTAGATCTAGCACAGCAACAGTACCATGCGACTCTGCGAGGCCCGAAGATTGTGAAGAGATCTGTTCAACAAGCTTCTTTAGAACGCCAGTTTCCCGTAGTTGACAGCATCGGCGATATATTCGTAGAGGGTCAGTCGTTGGTTGGTCCTGGCCTCGCGTGGAATGGAGAGAAGATGGTCCTTTGTCACGGGTAAATTGAAGTGGGATAGCTCCATTCGCCTCCGCCTGCCTTCTCTTTCTCTCCTTGCGCTCTTTTCGCTCCTCTTCAGACCTCTTCTTCTTCTCCTGCTTTCTTGTTTGCTCCTTGACACCAACAGCTTTTTCACCTTCTTTAGCAGGAGCCGACCGTAACGTTTCTGCAGCATCGGTACTCGGAGCTACATCGGATGGTCCGCCATGAGCGCCAGCCAGTGGTTTAAGGGTTACGTCTTCAGCCTTTCCCGTTGCTTTAGAGTCTTGTCTCTTGAAAGCTCTGATTTGATCAACCATTGTTGATTTCTTCTTCGCAGGAGCTTGCTGCGGGGCCTGGGGAGAAGTTGATTCCGTAGGTTGTTGTGATGGAGCTTCCACTTCGGATTCAGACCTCCGGGAGGTCCCCGCAATTTCCACATCGACACAAAAGGCAACACGTCGGAGCTTAGCCTCATTTAGTTCAGCGATCTTGCATCTATCGCGATGCTGATCGACATTCATAATCCGCCGTTCAGAAATTACTCCTTGTGTCGCGATCTTTCCTAACCCACCACCAGCAGGTAATGATGATGACGAAGAAAATTTGCGGAAGGCATTATGAAAGAAGGAAGGATGGCTCCTTGGAGAACGAGAATCGACGGGGGCCGGAGTGTCATCTGGCTTGTCGGTCTTGTCCTTGGGAGAGAAAGATGCGCCGAAAGGATTAGGGAGCTCTGTTCCTGGGCTTTGGACTGGTTGCTTAGCGTTGGCATCTTTCCCATTGCTTTGAGCCGGAGGGGCCGATCCGCTCGATGAGAATTTCTGACTTAAAGTGGATATCCACGAATTGCGTCGACTGAGGGCAAGTTGCTTTGTGCTTGAAGATTTTCCCATAGTTCCATTGGCTGACGAGGCTGCAGGAACAAGCAAAGGAGTAGATTCATTCTTCCCCATCGCATCCGAAATTCCATCCCTTTGCTTTGGCGGAGTCTGTCGCGGATCCATCACCGGCGGTGTTAATAACGTAGGGACCTCTGAAACGCCATTGGCAGGTTCGTAATTTTTCGTCGGGAGTGAGCTTGCAAGGATCAGTGGTTCTGGCGATATCGCTTCTGGGACATTTGGTAAAACCGAAGGGGCAGATCTGGTTCGAAGGAGATTGTCTAATGGTAATCAAGTTAGGGTTATTCAACGTGAACTCTATCAGCTATATCAAGCGCCGAACAAATTCGCTAGTATCACTGTTTCCGGAGAAAAGGATGTACCTTTTTGAGAATGATGCAACCAGCTCACATCAACAGTATCGACTTTTTCCATCTCGCAAATGTCTTGGACAACATACGACAGCACTTTTCTTGAAATCAAAGAATGCAGGCTCCCGAGAGTATTGCTGCTATCAGTAATATAAATAAGCGGTATTCAACGATATAGCAGCCAAGATCGTGTCATATGAACGGCCGTAGTGGGAGGGCTTCAGCTAAGGGTCAGCGCAAAAAGCTCACACGAGCATGGAGTGGGGTGAGATCAGGGTGCGACAGGGGGCATAAAGAACGCGGTATTAGTGGGAGCAGGGGTGGCAAGGTAGATATGTGCCAGTTGAAGACGGCCGCTCTTGCAAGGTGGGAGAGGCGACGAGAATTAGAATATTATTCACCGCGAGAAGATTAGCGGCGAGGGTAGGGGATTATAATATCAATATTCCCGATATGCGGAGCGGCGGAGGAGCAGCACCGCCAGAGCGATGGACGGAGAACGAAGTCAACAGCCACGCTGCGGCACAGGCTCCACCATCGAATGAAGGATGAGGTAGGTTGGAACAAGCGACATGACTGGGAGTAGTCGGAGCGGAGAGAATGTAGTGAGGTGTGATATATAGCGGTGATGATAATGGGTGAGCTGATGGTGGTTGATGGGGCACTTAAGGGCATTGATTAGTCAGATGCGGGAGAGCGCTCATTTTCGACGCCAGTTCAAGCTAGGGATACATCCTTTAGTTACTAGCACCAGTTCCAGAGCCTTCGAGATGGTCATTCGGCTTCTTACTTTCCCCCAAGCAATGGCGGTTCAACGGCTCAAGCAGCTTGTGAGATCGGGGACCCTTTCTTCTCTTCCCTGTCTTGGGCTTCTGCTCTGAGTTATAGTCAGAAACATGCTAAAATATATACGGATATCTTTTTGGCGCTGTGTTAAAATCCTCAGATACGAGTGTCAAGTGAACAGTTCTCCCCCAAGGCGATGTTAGCTCGAAGAATCATAAATCTTGTCAAAGGGCCCACATCACTGCAATAATGGGAGCTTACACCGTAAGTCAAGAAATGGGTCCAATCGAGGGTTCCAGAGCAAAGAAGATTCAACCAGAACATCGATAGCCACCATCTCTAAGGCTTCTTCTTGCCTCGAACAAAAGCCACTGGCAATAGAGCGTCGAACATCCCGAATCCAAGCTAGCTATCGAATTGGCGTTGAGACCGGTTCCGCCAGTCTGCCTGCTACTTCTCACCAAAGATGCACCGCACAGAAATCATAGAATATCCCCAGTCGCACTGTGTGCAGAGCAACTGAATACGCTGAATACGCTGTTACAAGGAGCACACAAATCCTGATGTAGCAGCCAAACAAAAATTGACCTCAGGCAGACGGTCCGTAAATTCTTGGCAGGGAGACCTTAGCTCATTCATTCATGGCTTTTGTCAAAGGCTCCCCAGAAGGTTCCGTTCCGCACCCGCCCGAAAAAATCACGAATTCCCGGTGGAGCCTCAATAATAGGAACAAAATAATCGTGGGATAACCAGCAGTTCAGCCGAGCTAACTACGTTCGAGGAGGTCAGCTAAAATCTATAGTTAATGTGTGCAGATTAGTCTCGCAAAAATCGCATCCAATGTCAGCACAAATCAGGGGCAATGGAGCAGAGCGTGGGGCCCGCTTCACGAAATAACCAACCTGCCATTGCTTCCAACAGACGGTGATCTGCCAATGACGGTTTTTTTCTGCCAGAAACCATCCTGTGCTTTAGTACTCTTAGAAATGATGCTCTCCAGCCGGTACTCTGCAGACTGACCGCGTGAAAATGGGCCATAGGGCAGACATTACACCCACCTCAGTGGCAGATTGAGATTCAGGCTTATGAAACTCAGCAAGCAGAAATGAGACTGTCACGTCACGCCAGCTACAAGATTTGCCTCCACTTGCCTCCACTTGCCTCCACTTGTCTACACTTGTCTACACTTGCCCACTGACGCCACGGCCTAAGACTCCCCAAGGGACATGATTTGGAAGTAATCGACTGACTCTCCGTAATCCCCTACTCGAGTGCTTGATGGTGGCAATGGGCGGGAAGAGGAAAAGGACCGAATAGCGGAAAGCCCTTCCATTCTTCTCTATTTCAAATCCAGGAAGGGGGAAAAGAAAAAGTTCGACCATTCTTGACGACGTGGTTTTTGGCTGATTACTATTTACATTGATCGTATTCAGCTAGTTCTAGGTGAAGAAAACTACGCTGTAAACGCAAGCGTTCTGACAAACACTCGCCACCCCATTACGAACGGTGTATTTTTTCTTTCTTTCTTTTTTTTTTTTTTAATAATAGTCAATACAATATGGAGAGTTAGACGGATTGCAGAAGGCGACTGCTTGCTCTAATAGGCTTATTTTTTTACTCTTTGGTATTAATTTCTTAGCATACAGAAGCTGCTTTAAGACAGGTTACTCAAAGTTACGCTCACCCTCTGATTTGAAAAAAAAAAAAAAAAAAAAAAAAAGGGCATTTTCGTGTTGGGAAATTGTTAGAGCATTTAATTATTGTCATGTTCAATAGTGACCGCGCCCATGTTACCCCTTCTTTAAGGTGAAAATTTTCCAGATATATTTGATTTTCCTTCATTCTTCTGCACAACCATGGATTGAGCGGAAACTGGCAAGGGCCAAGCATTCGTTTATATTTTATACTTGAGGGCTGAAAAGGAGGGAAACAAAATTTTCGATCAAGGGAACGCTGGACATGTATATTCATTTCTTCTTTCCCTGTTGACATAGAGCCGCTCATCTACATGTTGACGGATACTGTGGAAGATTGGTTATGCTATGTTTTCTGCCTGAGGAGGGAAAGAAAATCATTGATATCATTTGTAGTTAAGGAACTCCATGAACACATGCAGCAAAGAAGAGGAGAAAAGAAATAAGCCCAGTCCGTTCACTCCGATTAAATACTCGACCATCCATCCGTGCGTAGCTAGCTAAATGTTTCCATTGGTGATGGAAAAACGTGTAAAAAGAAAAAGATTTTAGCCAGCTCGCGTTTTCTCAGCATTTCATTCATTACCAAATTCAATATAATCTTCCTCTTTCCCCCTTGAAATCTGACGTTTGCTTGTTGTAGGCAAAAAGAACTTTTGCCAGATCCTTTCACATTAGAAAGCGAGAAACACAGATCACAAGCGCAAAGAGAAAACATATTGTGTCCCGTTTTATGCCAACTCCCGAATCTTCTCCTGTACACGCGCCTCTTTCTCAGCACGAGTAAGCTTCTTGCTTCGATATTTCAAGCTCTCAGCCTTCCACTCCTCCTTCGTCTTCTTGGGTCCAGCATCCTCATCCTTCTTGAACGGATCGGCACGGATACCCTTGTGCGCCTCAGCATAGATCTCCTCAAGATCACCAGCATCAACGTCGTCGTCAATATACTTCTGGAACTGGGACTTGTAGCGCTCCTCGTCGTCGTCGGCAAGGGTTTCCATGTACTCAGCCACGTGGCCGCCGAAGATGTAGCGGCGCAGAGTCTCCGCATCCAGCTCCTTGGTCTCGATATCGTAGCCAGGGAAGCGACTCTCGGAGTGGGGGATCAGGATGCCGCCATCAGACGCGCCCTTCATGGCGGCGAAGACACGGGCACCGGTTGAAGTGCGCTGGAGACCGACGTCGAGAACGACCTTGAAGGGGCGGCGGGTGCCCTCGTCAGTCTCAGCGGCTTCAGTGAGGCTGTACTCGCCCTCGGGTTCCTCTACACCGACAAAGTCCTCGTCCAGGCCAAGCTTCTTGAGCGCGCGGCGAGCGAGAAGGAGACCGGTGGCGTAGGCAGCAGCCCAGTTGGTCAGGCCGTGCTTGATACCATAGCGCTTGAGCTCATGGGAGTACGCAGAGGCGAAGACCTTGTCACCGGTCATTTCAGCAGTGACGATCTGGGTGATGATGTCACGGTTGGTGAAGCGGACAACCATGCGATACTTGGGCGCATTGTATTTGTTCTTGGCCTGTGTGATCAGACGCTTACGGGCATAGTAGTCGGTCTTTCCCTCCCGGCGACGCTTGAACTTGGTCTGATACCGGCTACATTAACGGGATTTTTATCAGTAAAACTCACACAGTCTCCGTGTATCGGGTGGAAATTGGGTATGTAGAAAGGCCAAAAAGGACGACTCACCTGAAGTAAGCGCTGTTCTTGACGAGCTTGGTGAAAGGCTACAATTTTCCCATAGAGAACAAGGTCCCGAGTCAGCAATTTGCGCTTCAGAAATTCTTTCTATTTATTCTCCCTCCGAAGCATCTTGCAGAGACTCCCCCGCCCTATTTCTCCCTCTTTTCCTCCAGTTCGCTCAAGGAATAACAGGGGATGAGTAACAGCGATTATTCAACGCCAGCTCGGGCAAAACAGGACTTACCATCTTGCCGATAGGTTTGGTGCGTCGAGTTGCTACTGAACCTGGATGTCGGGCGAGTTGGACAGGGAGGGAGAAAAAATCGTTTCCAACTTTTTTTTGTGGGATTTTGCTATCTCGTTTTGTGTGTTCGCTTAGCGCGGCGATTCCCAAAGCTGGGGATGGCACTGGGGTTGGTGACGAGATTGCGTTCAGGGACCACCAAGAGAAGCAATCAAGTAATTCTGAAGCAGATTACTTTTGAAAAACCAACGCATTTGTATTGCACATTAAATTGGCGATTTCTGAATTGATAATTGTCTGGGAATTGCTCTTTTGCACTATTATGGATCTATATTGGTATTCTATCTCATTCCTGACCCCGCAGCCAACGTACAATATAAGATGTATTTATGTTTGAGCGAATCGACAGAAAAACTTAACAAATTGCTCCAAAAGAGATGGTCTCCTTGCATTTATAATCTCGCTCTTCCATCGTTCGCTAGCAGCTGCATACCAGTAACTTCTTCCAGCTCCTTCACCGCATCCCACGACTTACCCAAATCAACCTTAATAGTCCGGAATCCTGCCTTCTTCGCCCATTTGAGGTTAATCCCAATATCATCCAAAAACACAATATCATCAGGCTCAACAAGGCCCGGCAATTCCTTCTTCTTCGCCGCATCGTTCATCTCCTTCAACGCCAGCGCATAGACCTTGGGATCCGGCTTCCGCAGCCCAACATGCGCGCTGGAGATGAAAAAATCGAAGAACCGTTTTACATCTACCGGTGGGCCTACTGGACTGTCTGCGGGGAGGATTGTCGTATTTGACAGCGCGCCGAGGATGAACTGACCCGATGCTTGTAGTTTTTCTAGAGCGGGGAACATGAATGGATCTGGGCAGCGGGCGACTCGCATCATTTCCCAAAAGAGGTATTCTGCATCCACCTTGGGGAGGGGTGGGAGAATAAATGTTGACGATGATGACGATTGATTATCTTTTCTCTGCCGCAAAGCATGGAATGATTTCCATAGATGCTGATGTTGGAAATCGCTGTTGAATTCTCGGAAGAACGCCGCGTCCAGCTTCACCTCCCCGCGCTCGATCTTGTGCCATGCGCCGTGTGGAGAAGTTTGTTGGATGCTGTAATTAACCCAACCAATTGGAATTTTGTTTGCGATTTCGTAGTCCAAGATGGCTTGGAATGGAGATACGACCTACAAATAATTAGATAAATTCCCAAGGCAATCGCTGGGCGGAGACTGAGGATTCCTTACACAAACGCCACCAATGTCGAATAGAAGCCCCTTTGGGCGTTTGGTACCTGCCATCTTCGGGCTCTAAAATATACCAGTACTAGTATTGCTGAGGGTGCTTAGAGGTACGTTCGTTCGAGAAATCGGGAAACACGAACTTGAATTGATGCCATGAAGTGAGCATATTAGATTCGTGATCAATTCAAGTTCCTACAACCTTGAGTCTTTTTGCCGAGGTTAACAGTCAATAAGAGCTGTGGCCCCACGAACAGCCTAACGTTCTGGTCGATCTTTCTGGGAAGATCAAGGTAAACTTTTATCCCGTAAACCATGTATATAATATATGGTCTCATTTCGTGTTGCTAACACTCTTGGAGCAAATGGTGGCCGAGAACGAAGTCGATCTCTCTTATCTTATCAGATTGATGATCTTAAGAGTCACGTGAATCCAACAACATCACGATCCAAAGTAAATTGAGAACCCATAAACATATATCAAACTAGAAACAATACATTTTGAACCCGACCTTGTATGTCCAAGCATGGATTCCTCAAAGACAATCACAGAGATAAAGTCGTCATTTGTCAGAAACCAAATTCGCATCCTATCTGTTGCTCTCACACCGTCGGAGGACTGGCACGACTATGGTCCTGCTTCTGAAGATAACATCCCCGATAAAATAGTGGAAGATGTACTGCAGAAATGTATGATCTATCCTATACTCCTTTAAACGGATTCGAGGGCATTTCGTTTTGGTTTTTAGTTGAATTTTCTTCCCATGCCTGCTGAGCTCAACCCAGCTAATTTTGCATCATAAGTAAACGCTATTTTAAAGAAACATAATCGCGCAGTCTTCTCGTCACAAGCTATCCACCATGTCGCCCGTCAAATCGAAAATCTGTATTGGAATTCAGTTGATCCAGAGACTGGCGGCGAGCTGTCGCAAGGCCTTGTCATAGAAAAGGGCACTGATTTGTCGAATTCAATGTATGAAATTCACATGCCAGCACTTCATGTGAGGAGTGTCATCGATAGTACGCCGCCTGCTGACAAGAACAAAGGAGTATCGCTCGACTCCCAGAGCAATGGAGTTATGATGGAAATGACGATGTTGGCGAGGACGATAAAGTCAGGTTCGAGAGTACTATCCGCTCCAGCATTCATAACCAACATATTATTCCTAACTGGGTCTTTGACAGATACGAACAATTACGGCTGCGCCTATTAGAACTCGACAAACAACGCAAAAAGCAGCAAGAGCGGCTTACGCAGTATAGGCTGCTTAGAGAACTCTTGGAGCCGTTCAAGGACCCGCAAATGAACATCCAGCCAAACTTAGTTACTAGGGATAGTCCGCTGGGCCAGGAGATTGACCGAATGAGAATGCTAGTTGCGAAGGTTACGAGCCGGGTTGGTAGGGGTGGTAGGAATGTTGAACTTGAAGGGGCTTCCCAGTCGATCAATGATCATGATGCGAAGCTTTCAGCGGTGTTGGATATGACTTAAGACACGTTACCGGACATTGTCCCATTGGTGTTATACTCGGTTCCTTCTTGCGGTAGTTAGGGTTTGAGACGCCGGAAGGGCTTTTCAAGCTCAAACTATACGAGTTTATTTTGTCATGGTTGACCACCGGCAGGGATGAAGGAGGGATCTTACATCTCTATGCAAAAGATATTCATTGGAGAGGCGAGAGCTATTCATGTCCAGTGTTTTTATCGAGCTAATGCCCGGTCTATATTGTGGACTTTGAAGTATGGCTCAAGTTGCTAGCGGATTGAATCTCTTTAGCCGTCCATGCCTACAGGCAATGCTAGTCATCTACTCAAGATGCATGTGACAAGCAGCAAACACTTCATTCCTGCTTAGGTCTATTTTCGTGAGGATAGCTGTGGATGTGTGGATCGAGGTGATTAGGCTGGTTCATGTACAGCTTCAAGTACGCATATTTAGAGCCTGGTATCCGCCTTCAATTTTGGGTCAGCTGGATTTTGATCAAACATGCAGGGCAGCTGTCAGGACTCGTTGATTGAATTGGGATGCACATGTATTTCTTCCTGCAGTGGAGTCGCAGTTTTCAAAAAGGACTCTAGTGATAATGAAGAGAAGTGAATTGAATCTTGTTCTTGTTTATTGGCTGTGATGTTTAAAGACTTGTTGCCATGGCACATGTCTCTACATGAATTCACTCTTTTAAACACACCAGCAACATCATTTCCTCTCTAATTTGTGATGTTCTTGTTAACTCTGTGACATCTATTCCCATCAACTTCTTCATGGTCCAAGAACAACCATACAAACTCCCCTCAGTGATGTCACTGTGGCGGCATCACGGTGCTGAGAATGTAGGTTAGTAAGCAGACATAACCCTGGATGTCTTTGTCCTCCACCCACGGCTCCAAAGCATCAAGTTAAATATTGAACCTACGAAAAGTCCATGATACGCTAACAGCTCTAATATAAGAACAAGGAGAAGGGAATGCAGACAGCGCTGAGTGTGCTGTCGAAATCTCCAATACGTCTATTGAACGCCAAGGATTTGTTGCTCGACATCGTCGAGCCAGGTCGCTAGTGTCCGAACAGGACCTTGTCCGGTTTCGCGCTGAGGTGTTGGGCATTTCACCCACAAGTAGTGGAACTCTCGACGCCGCCGATGAGGACGACGAGCTAACGGAGCTTAATCTCGCGTTTTCTTCTGCAAGCATGTCAATGACCAGCAACACCTCCAGCAGCGCCAGCAGCACAGGTCCGCCCCCTTCTCCCAACTCCAATTCGCCTGCTGGCACGGGCCCCTTCGCCACTCTTTACGATCACAGCAATAACAACAATAACGGCAATAGCTTCAATTCGTCTGGTCCCGTCATGGCGGGCATGTCTCGTCAAATCCCGAGTCCTAGTACCCCTTCTACCCAAAATGGGGGAATGGCGCCGATGAACGTCGGGATGCCAGTCAATGCCGGACACCAAATGGATCTCAATCATCTTTACGAGATGGTTTTGGAGCTCAGTGATGTGTTGAAAAATAATCGCGACATGACGAAAGGGATTATTGACAGTGCTGAGGAAATTATGGTTGGCGATCCTGCTCCCTTTCTGTTATTTCCGCTTCATGGGTTTTTTTGTGCGAGCGAAACAAATAGTGTCATATAAAAGCTAATTGTTATTCTTTTCTGTCTTTCATAGAAACGCGCTGCCGCAGAGGGTGCCAGTCCAACGCTCCAACAGGTCAACGGTGAAGTAACAGGTGAGCCACTCTAACAACCACCTGGACTACGACTGCCATTGATCTGACCAATATACGCTCAATCCACAAAGTCACCAGAATCGCAGAACTCGAGCGCTCGCTCGCACGAGAAAAATCCCTCGTCGAAGCCCTCAAGCGGGAACAGATAGAAAACACCAAATTGATTGGGGAGTACGAAACGGCCGTCGGCACCATGGTGGAACAGATCCGCAACTACTGCCAGAACAATAACATGCACTACCTCGCCCAGAGACGCCACTACAGTAATCTCCTCCAAGCTGAACGTGACGCCCACCTCGAGAGCCGCCTGGACAGAGACAATTGGCACGCCAAGGCAATGAGATGCTCTGAAATGATCCGCACCGCGTACCGTCTTCGCTGCGACGAAGAAGAAGTCCCCATCCGGATTATATCTGGGTTGCAGAATGAGGTTCGTGCATACCGCAATGCTTTGGGCATGGAGCCTGAGAAACCGGAGGAAGAGTATGGGTGGGAAATACTCAAGGACCTTCCTGCTGGTGTGGATTAATTATCGTTTTCCCCAAATGACTTTGGGATTTTCGGATTTTGATTTGTTACGAGTGCGATGACAAATGATACAATGCAAGATGGCGCGTGCATGGCGTTCAGGAGCTGGCGACTGGGTCTCGCTGTTGTTTCTCTTTTATCCTTTCTCCTTTCTCTCTTTTCTGTTGTGGAGGGGTTCACTTCATTTTCCTTTCACTTTTCCATCTGCCGTGTTTGTTCTTTGGGATATACCCTGGGAAGCTGATTCAAGCATGTCACTGAGAAGGCTTCATTTCACACAAGTACAGTATATTTATCTTTCTTCCTGTAATTTTTTTTCCTTGTCTCAGGAGATGGAACTGGGGTCATGTACTGATATTTCCTTTGTCCCATCGTTTCAACTTAGCTGCATATATCCATATTGCACATGAAAGACAGTGGGTAAATTGTCTGGCAATGACATCCATCTCGTCGACAGACAGTGGGCCATACCTGCGCAGAAGCTGTTTCATCGACACGGTTTATATGCTTCGATTTTCTTTTTTACGGTTGATATGCCTGCTTTCCTTCTGTTTCCATCGGGGTTAAAAAAAAAAAAAAAAATTTAAATTTAAATTTTAACAGGAGGCATAACATGATGGTGCAAGATCTACCGTCACTTCCCGGTGGCGTAAACCCACCCCGTATTCCGCATAGGTAGCGGAGTTCTCTCAACGAATAATACTCAAGGATATCAACTGAGCACGAGGTCGAATTTCTGATGGCTAGGGGTGAGGGAGAGGCTTGGTGGGGAACGTGGAAGGTCAACATTATATCAACAAATGCCTGCTCGGATTAAGGACTAGCGTCTACGCCGTTCGACGCCCCTTCACGCCCTACAACAAGAAGCGGAATCGACATAACGTTAAAGCTTTCCGGAACTTCAGACGTTAAAATAACTATTGAAGAATGATTTCTAATGAGCAACATATACGATCCGCAGTCCATGTTTAGTGTGTGAAGGGCTGAGCATAAACCGTGTTCAGCTGGAACCCGGAAAAGCAATGGGCCCAGTGGAATCTCATGAAATGAGTCAGATGGCCTCCTCGCGCTTGTATACATACGATATCCCCTCTTTTTGATATAAAACTGCTGATGAAAGCCTAAGAGCTTGAACAAGTGTTTGATTTTTGCTCCGACTCATTTTCCTCTACATTTTCTCCATCCTTTTCTTTTTGTTTCTGCCTCCTGCCCTACCGCGATCCTCCAATGCAGTTGAATACACACCAGCATCAGCTCTATTTGTTGTTGTAGAGCTAATTTTTTTTATGACTCCATGACTTTATGGTCCTCGATATATCCCAATTCATGCCTCTGATATACCAGCTACGTCTCTAAGGGAACAGGTCAAGCTCACCTCCTTCTTACATGGAGCCTGTGGAGGATATTCAATGTGGTGCTCGCCGAGCATTGGCTGCAGTGGTTGGTTATGAGGGACGACGGTGTCGAACGCATTTTGTTCCTTGGACGAAGCACCCCCTGGATGGGACAGGCATATTCCTTCCTTTTTGTACTCAGGAGGTATAGCCGATGACCTTCTCGCCATCTGGGCGCGAGGATCAGAATATTCGGTAGGACATACCGGATGAAATGGATTGGGTCATTTCTTTGCGGTCAGGGATGGAAATTCAGTCATGGTATGAGATATATACTGAAAGAGAACTAAAAAGCTGACTGAACTGGAAAGTTCGGGGGAGGGAGAGAGAGAATGGAATAAAATAAGGGGGGGGAGGGGGGGGATATACATGAGTATATGAGGAAACTGAAAATGACGATGTCCCTGTGGGCATATTTCGTGGAAAGACATGTCATACAAACCGAGACACATAATGGTGTTTTGCCTACATTAATGATATAAGAACAGACATGCTGAGGCTTCCCTCCATGATTCCCTCCGTTATCCACTTATGCAATCCAGAACCATATCTTCTCGATAAGGTTTCGGGGGTTATCTGCGGGCCACTCGACAGCATCAAGAGCAGCTTTTCCCGACCAAATATCGGCCTCTGCGGGATCGATGAACTTGGTCCTTTTAAAGATTCTCCAGAACAAATATAGTCCGAAATAGATTGGGACGCCAATGTATGCGGTGAAAAAGCCCTGGAACTTGAACTTGGGGGCAAAGGAGTCGAAGCCGTTGAAAAATATGATTATGGAGAAGAAGACGAGCGCAAAGTATGCGGGATATGGTTGCCAGGGAGCTCGGAAAACCATTGTATTGCGGTCGACTCCCTGTGCATTGATTGCATGGTGGAATTTAATGCAGGCAATACAGATGGAAACCCAGGTGAACAACGAGGCGATGGTGGTCAGGTTCTGGAACCAGATAAAAACCGTGTTGGCGCCGGCGCTGGTGGACATGAATGTGAGGAGCCCGACGGATCCCGTGATTAAAACACAGTAAATCGGCACACCCCTAGATGATGAAAGAATCAGTCAGAAAACCCCGACAACAAACTTACGGATGTTCAAATGTTTACTCACAGTTTGGTGCATTTCAAAAGGAACCTCGGTGCTTGGCCGTTCTGGGCCAGGGCATAAAGATAGCGACTACCAGTATACAAGAATGCATTACCCGAGGAAGAAGCGGAGGTCAAAATGACGGCGTTGATGATGGAAGGGAGAACCGGAATGCCCGCACGTTGGATGGCGATAACCCATGGGGAGGCTGCACCAGTGCTCGATTTGGATGATTTTTGAGCATTCAGCAGCATTTTATCGTCGTAAGGCACCAACATTCCGATGGCGAGAGATCCCAGCACATAAAAGGTAATGATACGCCAAAATACTCTTCGTATAGCCTTGGGGATGTTTCGTCGCGGGTTTGCTGCCTCACCAGCTGCAGAAGCAACCATTTCTACACCACCAAATGAGAATGCAGCATTCACAAGCGTCGAGAAAAACCCAAGGAATCGCCCTTCAGCGCCGGTAGCAACATACTCTCTCATCGCACCAGGATTCTTCCAGTAACGGAAGCCTCGACGGTCATGGTCCGGACCACCGCCGAGATCAATAATAAGAGACAGGATGAGAAGACCGACAATGGTGACAATCTTGACACTGGCGAATATGAACTCTGCCTCACCATAGATAGCTACGGCGAAGACATTCAGGAACATGATAAGAACCCAAATTAAAGCGATCCATGCTCCGACATTAATGCCCTCTGCACCTGGCCAGTATTCAATTAGGAGAGCAGCGGCAGCAATTTCGACACAAATAGTGATTGCGCATTGGTACCAAGTCTATTCTCCTGAATCAGCACTTGTGGCGAATACAATTTTTCCCCACGGTTCGCCCGAGGGATTTTCTCTTCTCTTCTCTCTCTTCCCCTCTTTCTTTCTTTCTTTTTTCCCCCTGGTGGTTCGAATTAATTAGACTAGGGTACTTACGTTCCAGCCGACAGCGAATCCCATGGCTTCATCAACGTAACGTCCGCAGAAGTGAGGTATCGCGCCAGGAAGTGGAAGCCAAGTTGCCATTTCACCAAGACACATCATCTGCGATCTAAATCAGTCACAACTCGCGTTGCGGTGGCACGTGCGATTACATACCATTCCGAAGATCGCGACACCGGTGAGGGAGTAGCCAAGCAGAATACTCAGCGGGCCACCTTGGGTGTGGGCGCGACCAATACCCAAAAAGAGACCCGTGCCGATAGATCCTCCCAGAGCAATAAATTGGATGTGTCGAGATTTCAGACTGTTAGGTTTGTCAGTAGTTTGTTCCAGGAATACTGGTCCCGTACGATGAACTCTCAAGTGAGAGAAACTTACCCACGAGTAACATAACCATAGCGTTCGGCAGTCTCAGCATCGCCATAGAGGCCAGCGGCTTCGTTGAACTGCAGTTGCTTGGAGTCGACTTCCTTCGTGACATCGTCATAAGAAGGAGCTCCTCCAGTTACCTCCGCCTTCGACATGGCGGGCAGATATTGCGGGTAAAATCACCCAGTGCAACAAAAGGGGTTGTTGCGATGGTCTGACGGTTAGCTTGGAGACGTTTCACAATCGCCAGTCTCGGGACCGTTTGCGTTTGGCTTTCTGGGGGCAGAGGTCTTAATAAGGGAAGAAGCGAGGGATCACCACCAGTTCAGAAGAGAGAGAAAAATAGGGAGATGGGAGAGTTCAAATAAGCCACCGCTGAGGTGAGTTGACCACTGCGGGTTCAGCCCACATGCAACATTTCCCCCTCTGACGACACGAGCCCCTGCTAATTTGATTCCGTCGAAATGTGATCCTCCTGGGAGCTTGTCAGTTCAGACTGCGGAAGGGATGGTTTCTTTGGTACCCACACCAACCCTCCAGAGGTGTGCTGGAAATAAGACGACACCGCAGTTGACCTTGAGCCCTGCGCAATTACCGCTCTGATCGTTGCGGGACCATTAAACTTGTCGCATTTACCCTTGCTCCCTCAAACCTAATTGGATCATTTCCGTTTTTGGTTACTTGCCACGGCTCAACAATGATACGCGCAGATCGTCACACACTCGCATTTGAAACACGATAGACGACAAGTCCAGTATTTGGGGTGAATGGAAACAAGTGAGCATTCCCGGCAGGACTGGGCACTTTTTCTCGCCTTGTTTTCCAGTTGAGCAATGATCGTTGCCATGGCCAAAATTCCAAATTATTATGATTTATTTTCTTTCTGTTCCTTGATTCCAGTTTGCTGGAGTTCGGATTTGGCAGATCTCGTTTCTTTGCTTTTTCTCCGAGTGGTCAAGCGGACAGCACGTCTATTAGCTTTGCTCGGTAAAAAGGGCAGATAGTCAGAACTCTGAGCGCAGGAATGTAACATCCATACTTCAAGCCCCCTGTATTTCGGCTCTATGTCAGGGAGCGAATTTCTGAAAGCTTGGGCCCTTGGACTCCATTGCTACCTTTCAGCCTGTATGCCCAAGTACGGCTGACGAATGAGGATTATGGGTAGATGGGGACGATATTTCCAAGGATGCATGCAATATTGCACACACCAACGCTCGCACATTGGACTACGCTGTAGATATGATCGGCTGGGGTTGTCAGAACTAGAACGAAGCACTGATTGCGGGAAATTTTTCGACAAAAGGAAGGTCCCTCTTCCTAACCGATAACGGATAGATGGATGAGCGGCTTGACAGGACATCGCGCAAGGGTGTCTGGATGTCTCAATCACAAGCTCATTTTTCTAGAAGCCAGCAAAACTGTGTTTCCTGTGTCCTGCTCGCCGCGAGCATCACCTGCTGCAGATACTGTGCTTCTTGCCACTGTGATTGTAGACCTACGTTTTTGATCCTGAAGTTGAGCGCGGTGTGGCGGCGCTCTTGGCAATCGAGCTAAAAGAACAGTGCGGTGGGGAACGCCGCTTGCATTTGTATTCTACAAAGCCAGTCGCAACGGAGTTCTACAGAAAACTCCCAACTGTTTCCAGTGCGGAGTAATGAGTTTGACTTCAAGTTGGCAGTAGCCGATAGAGATGATAGGCCTCCCCTGGCCCTTCGATTATGGCCTGCTGTCAAGGAAAGCGCCTTATTTAATGGCTACAATGACACCGCCAGGTCATTTGGGGATGGATAAATATACCCCAACACAGTGGGCTTTTATTATTTCATTTTCAACCCCTTTGCTTGTCAAGAGGGGGAGGAAAGATTCTGGAATTGGAATTGATTCACCAGTTCTGGCTTACAGACCGACCTGTGAACGAACCGGTACCTGTACCTTTAGTTTAACCGCTACATACTAGTAGGAATCAATAATGGGGTAAAGCTTTGAAATCCCGCCTTCACAGTGGAATGATCTCCATTAGCTGCATGCTCTCTTGGTCCTCCGGTACAGTGCGTTCGTTTCTTCTATTTAGGCGGCTAAACTTTTCCAGAAGGCTTCGGTTGGCAGAGCAGCTGCTCGTCCAGGGAACGCCACGCATCGGGTAGTGCTGGGACAAGTCTGCCTACATCACCCTTTGGCCTTTGCCATCCTGGGCTGGATGGGAATATGTATGTATTGATGTCCCGTATCTGCTGGTTTAGAAGGTGCGGTAATTTTACCAACCTGTACCAGTGCGTTGAGCGTCGTTTGGGGCCTAGATGGTAAAAGGCTGAATAGCCCGCTGGCTAACAATTGTGTTTGTTCTGATTTGCTGCACGTCTAAGGAGACATGGTCTCACAGGGAATATTACCATTCGATTGCAAAGGGGTGCGGGGAATGTGCGTTTGATGTAGATACCCGAGATACCGACGCATTTTGTGGAGGAATGGAAAACTTCAAGTTAAATTCCGAGAAAACCTGCCGAAATTCGCTGCGGTGATACCTTTGATGGCACGGTTGGAATCAACTGCGAAACAAATCAAGATGGCCAACTTGTTGAGGCTGTTGGGGCTGACTTGGGGCTGAACTCCGCCCACGAAAAACCATCCTCTGTATAACTCAATCTTATCTCACACCGCAAACGGGCATACCCACAGGTAGACCCACGGGCAGTTTTATCTGTTGGAGCCATGATGCGATCCGATCCGATCTTGGTTGGGGCAGAGAGAGCTCAGATGAACAGGTTGTGCATCCAGATCATTCTTGCTGCTCCGCTACTGTTTCCTTTCGTCTGACTTCTTCTCCCCCATGACAAGACAAACCATCCAGTCGAATCATACTCTGTAAGAGGGATGCGCTGTCCTGCCTCTATTTTTATCAAGATGCCAGGCCCCACATGCGCGGGACCCCAGCAGCCTCATTTGCAAAATTATGCTTAAATCAGGCGAGCGAAGCCGTTATTTCAATCCTGGCGGTGGCGGAAGATGATTTAAGCATTACCAGTTAACTAACTAACCCTGCCCAGGCCAGCGGCCTGTTGGCGGGCATGGGCAACAACCATTGATTGGCACACCTAATATCTGGGCACTAATATCTGGGCAGCTTGCGACTAATCTCGCCGTAAATGCCTCAGCTCAGCCCATCAGCTCAGGAGTCAGGACCGAGGAATTGTCTCCTTTGAGCCATATATGAAACAGAATGGTTTTTTTTTTGAGCAGTACGTCCTCTCTGATGATTCCCACCGTCCCCTTGCCTGGTGCCACCGTTGCGTGGGCCTACGTAGCATGTGATCCTCTGTGACGATTGGTTTGCGGACAGTTCAGCAGGTTTCGCAATGCTTGTTGGCTGCAAGGATTCGACACTGGGCTATTTCGAGCCACACAGAAGGGGTTGATTTGCAGCCACCGTCATTTGTATTATGGAGATGGACAGGGTAACATCGCCCCAATACAAAACCAGGGATTGCTGATTTCTCCTCACATTCAATATGGCGACTACGATTGCCTACGACTAACTTATCGGCGCGGGCTGGTTTGGTCGACGCGGTGAGGGGTCAAGAGCGCTTGGACTGGACATGCTGGCTCTCCACCCTAAAAATCCGGGGTAATTCAACACATTGCTGGTCTCTTGCCGGGCTGCTTCCGACGCGGAAACTGTCGGCGGGAATCCTGTATGCCGCCAAGAGCGGCATTGTCACCTTGGATCAACTTGATACTGTGATTGTCCGCTGAAGTTTCAGGTGAGTCTGGTATTATTAATTATTAATTATTGGCATGATGATCCAAATAAATACAAACAACTAGTTAATTTTGTAAGAGAAACTCTTGATTTAGGTGAAACGACAGGGTCGCCTCAGTAGCTGCCAGCTGGAGCATTTCATTCATCTTGAAACCAACTTCATTCCATCTCTCATGAATGTGGGAGTGATAGCGGCGACAATAAAAATGCTGACAGCGCCACAGCATTTGGTATGGCCGTATGGGGCATTTTTCCCCTTCCACCACAGCTCCATGAATTCACAGTCTTTGGATATCTTGGAGGGAAGGATATGACATTATTCACTATTTCTGTGCCCCGATGAGCAAGAGTCGCTACTCTTCCTCACCCTTATCTTCTTTTCAATGTGTGGTAGATACCCACCACAGCATGTCGCTTTTTCTTCTCATGTTCTCCTTCGTTTTTCTATCCACAGAATAACCGACTTCGGTTGTTAACCCCGGTTTTAACCACACCCTGGAGAAATAGCCATCCCACTATTTCTGTTTTTGTCCTAGTTATTTGACATTCATGACTGGCGTCGTTAGTTACTAAGTCGAGCTATTTTCAAAGCTACATGGGTGGTTTTGTCTTTCCCTGTCGCATCGGAAATTCTCACGATGACAGGTAACTACTTTATTTCCCCATCCCCAGGATGAAATGAGATTGAGTTCAAATGCTCACTAACTACCACATGAAAGCCAACAGAGCCACGCACCAGTGAAAACCTTGCAAAAATCAGCTCTGTGTCAAATGATACGCCTGCGGATAGGTCGTCTAATTCCGACAGAGAATCCTTCGACTGAAGTGCGGAGTTGTCATCTTCTTTCTTAGTTACCAGCTACAGAGGATTGTCAGCAATTAGCAATCAATGTCGACAATTATTAACTGTGGACTTTCGGATGAAGTGGAGGCAGGCGTCGAGTGCGGAGTGGTAGTGAATGGCTTTCATACAACTTCGTTTTGCGTTTTAATCTTAAGAATCCCAAGTTGCTTCGGGGAGGGGATTAATCTTCTGAAGATCGGCTCCGCAAATATTTGACTTCTGAATGATATACCAGCCAAGAGACCTAAAATTTATATCTCGTTATCACCAATAGAGGAGGGCGGGAACGTTGAGCCAAGATTTTTACTACTCAACAACGGCCTCCTGTCAGAAGGGCTTGTGCTACGGCCCAAGAATTATTACAGGTAACAGGCCCAGTTTTAATTAGGGAGGTTTCACACTAGCAAAAAGGAATATGTCAAATCGCGAAATATTTGTTGTGAAATTTAGAGAGGAGAAGTCTATCTTCGACACAGGCGCCAGTATGCTTTGTCATACGCAACTCTCTACTCCCCGGTGTCCCGTCTTCTTCCCCTCTCCTGGAATGCTGCCGGCGCGGTTAGAAAGGGAGGGCAGCGGCTACATGCATGGAGTCCCTTCCAGACGACGACGAGTTTCCTAGGGTTTTGTGAATGCCCAGACACGGGACCAATTACTGCTATCTCCTAACAGCAACATCGCTGTAGCTGCAGCTTATCCTTTCTCCGAGTTGAGGTCATCTTGAGGAATCATGCTTATGGAGCCGTCGCAAAACGGATCTTCAATCATAAATTGCCTCCTTGTTGATCAGGGTTAGAATATGCCACATGGTTACTTGAGCAACCGCTTTGACTGGTCTGACATCCCACCATAACCAATAAAAGCTTAGAGAGAAGGGAACTTAACGAAGATATATCTGGAGAACTGACACGTTACTCTGCCAGGATATGCAACTCCTCCAAACAAGCTCAGCTAAAACTACATTTTAAATGGACGAAGCTTGTAGGAAATCACTGACAGGGGATGGAATCATTTGCTGTTGACATGGTGGTAAAGGCACCAATGATACAAGGTAGTAACTATGACGCAATAACGGCGCTGACATTTCGGTTATTTCACCGCTCAATTTACAAGGTACCCCAAGTCTAATCAGTCTATCCCATGTTCTGCGGTTTTCAAGATAACCTTCAGGTTGTTTTCAATCTCCCTATGTTGACACCATCGTCTATGGTCGAACAAAGCGCATGTACTGTATGATGGGTCCCACATCGAACCGGAAGGCTCAAGGGAGTCTTTCCTGGTGAACCGTTCTTCTCCAGGCGGAAATATGGGGCTCCTGTGCTGGCTCAGTAGCTAGCCAACGCCCATGAAGCCTCAACCGACGCCTAATAAGTATGCCTAGTGGCATGCACGATTATCGAGCTTATATCTGCGAAATGCTACATATCATGGATCAGTATTCACAGTATACCCTTGCTAACTGTTGTCAAATCAAGCTCTCTGAAAGCCAAAGACTCAGCGACTCTTCACAGTTAAGCCCTATCACAAGATCAACTTCACATCCCAAGAGAATATCAGCAAGGAATCCGTCCAACACGCACGTCGTCATAGGTAAAACAGGAAAGAGACTGGGGTGGAGAGCTGTAGAGGAGTGGCAATGCGGGATTGCAAACCCCTCTCGAGAGAGTGTTCCCATGGGAAAATCGATCAGGTTTTGATGTACCACAAAGAACTTCCCGCGACATGGATTCCTTCTATCCCACCGATTGCAAATCAAAGATATGGCGCCACTGAATTCTTTCCCTATATCGGCCTCGGAATATCTAAACTCCTGCTGCGAAGAGCACTACCTTAACCAAATTGTGGAAGTACTTCCAATCAGGATGCTCCTGGGCTACCTCATTTGGTCTTGAAATATCACCTCTTCAGTGAGCGTCGCCCTTCTATCAACACCGGTTTCAAATGGACCTTATTTCCCCTCTTCCACTGCCAGCTCATCCCCTGCGCGACATAGGCCGCAGGGCTCGGTCTCCTGCAATCGCGCGTGCCCAATGCTCCCGGACCAGCATTTCCGCTACCCAAATCCCCTCAGTCGTTGGGGCCCCTGGCTACCCAGCTCGTCCCCGGAAACGCCAATGTCCACGCTAGTTGGAAGACAACACGTAACCGCTATGGAAAGATGCTTATGCGGACCTCATTCACCCCTGCCTATCAAAATACATGTAATTCCATTGGAATTGCAATTCAAAAGTCTTGATACAACTGAAAACTAACATTTTGAGGGCTGACCTGCGGGTTTAGCCAAATGGCCATATATACCAAGTTCACGATAACCTCATTTATGGGGAATTTTCGAGAGGACCTACAATTACATTCGGAGACCATATTTTCATAAATAATTAATTACGACATTTGGACGACAGTAACTACTGCTTGGATCTTCGCCGTGAAAACCTCAAAGCCACCCACTGCAGCGAATCACAATATTCTTACACATTCATATTTGGAATCACGTCTGCTAATTTTCAGCGGAATAAGAAACAGTAAGATGTGTATGTTTGGATAAGGGGCCCGAGTCACGCAAATTCTCCACGGGAGTGATAATGGGAATTGTACTAGGGGTACGCGGAAACGTACTGTTCGTTTATTTTCCATGTCAGTGCTGTAAGCCTGCTGTATGCATGTGTTGCATAGTCCGTTTCTGGGGTACATCCCACCACCGCCCTTGGCCTGGAACGAACAACATATCCAAATATATCTAACAAGAGTTTATGACGTTTGCTCAAACAGTATCTATCTCTTCACTTTCTCATCTTTTGTTTTCATAAACAAAAGACATAGGTGTTCTATTAAGAGAGGTACAGTACAGCACATTCAAATATGTCCAGAACCATGTAATGAATATTTTTGATTGAAATTTGGTTAACGTTTTAACTACCACGGTTACTAGAGGTTAACACATATATCTCCTGCACAATCTGTTGAAATCATCTAGCATGCGTAAGCCATATGAGAATCGCCTCTCTCAATATTGCACGGAGTGAACTTTTTTCATCAACAGTATTTAGTCAAGTATTGTGACTTTGGGAGGACTGTGATGTTTCCTTTTCCTGTATATAAACTTGCTGTCCCTGACTTAAGATGGAATTGCTCAGAGCTACTCAAAGGGCTGATTGTGGATTGATTGCATCAGCATCTGCTGCTGCTCATAGAGAATCAGACAACTACATCAATGATGCAGTCCATCGGAAGTGAGATGTTGTTTATATCGATATCCAGTATGGAGAGCAATCTTTGATCAGTGTAAGTATGAGATAACATTTGAACGTCCAAAATAAGCATTTCCTTGAATGGTTGGTTTGTAAACCATTTAGAAATTATTGTCCCTCTTCCCGAAAGCCCAATCGTCCAATATTTTGCGCCTCAACAAACTACTCGGCATGGCTTCCCTAGAATATTGCAGACATCGTTTTCCGATGGTATGTAATTACTTACATGACCTGCATGACCTGCTGCCGTTGATCACACGAATGGAAACACCCACACCTGCGTCGCGCTGGTTGAGAAGCACGAGATACCAAAGAAATTGGCCACAAGCCATAAGGAAGGTGGTGGTTGCATTCTTCTCCTGGAAGGTGCGCGAGTAATAATTGGTTTTGGGGGTGAACTTTGTATAGCTTGTGCTAAATCACCTGAGAAGTATAAGCTTTACAGCTTCAACGGTCCAGTAAGATTCTGCTTCACCAGTCTGTGACGACCCTGGAAAAGAACCGTGGCAATAGGTCCATGTAGATACAGGCGACCTTGATTCTTAGCTGGGTGAACCCCCAACGATATCCAATCGCCCATCCATCGAAATCGAGTCTGCATCCTCATGTGGTTTCCTTTCTACCATTTCATTCACACAGGCTCTCTACGTTCCATGGCATAGTTATAATCATGGTCTAAGCAAAAGGTATTCGGTGTAAAGCGTCAATGAGAATGGAAGTTCTGAACCATCTGAAGCGACCTTAGGGATCTTTGGATCTTTGCTTGGAGACAGGGAGACTGCAACCCTGAGTCTGAAGTATTGAAGGACTGCATGGGGATCCGTGCTTGTAGCCTCGCAGTCTTTGAAATCCCTGAACGTGACGAGCTCCGGATTGGGGAAGCAGGGACGAGGAGCCCATCTCTTTCCAAATTCGTATGTTGCTGGGGAGACGAGTCGTGCCTTCTATATCCTGAGAAGCCTCGGGCCATCTTTCGAGGGCGAAAGAAGAAGTGTTTGGGGGAAATAAATGTCGTCATTTCGATGCTGCACTTCCGGTTTAGGCAGGGGCAAGCAGCGCCTCGAGGTAAGAGACGCCACGGTAAAGTGTATAGGGCAGGAACTGGGGACAAAGGTTAGCAAGGGCCCAACTTAATCGTGTTATGGGGAAACAAAAAAAGTCGTCATTTTGCCCTCTTTTTGTCTGTATCCATATTCGGTCTGTTCTCATATAAAATCATTGCGGAAGAGATGCCTTCATTCTGATCTTCAACTGTTTTCCATAGTATATGCTTCTGGAAACTCAGCTAGCATCGATAACCCTTCATATTTGAAAAACAACTGGTCCTCCATATCCATTCGCACGCGTTCAGTCGATCGCCGCAACCGTTTGCCTCTGTTCTGATAGTCATAATCTTGGAACGCGAGGAACAATGGGATCCAAAATCAAAAAGGTCAGAAAGAAGGGTCCGAAAGGGAACGAGGACAAGGGCGGAAAAGTCACACATTCCATGTGTCCTCCTTCACCAGTGGACTCCAACCACCGTGACGCGTATAATTCAATATCTGGAACGAACACCGCTCAAAGTCCCGAAGCTCCCTTTTTGTCGGCACAAGAGAATGGCAACCTCCTCACTAAGAACATCAATATCAGGGGGAGGAGCAGTAACGGAGCCGCAACTGCTTTTGCTCCCAATTTTGGCGGAGGAGATGTTGCCATATATAACCCTCGATCTGCTGCTAGTGTGCAATGGAAGTTACCGCCGCTTAGTGAGGTGCTCGATGTCATCGCCACAGACGTCAAAAACCATGGTTTCCCATGTATCGAGTATCCGGTGACCGAGAATACCCAGTATTTAAACAATATGTCAAGACGTTTCCCGCCTTTTGTTGGAGAGATGGGATCCACAAGGAGTCAGGGAATAAGCATCCCACCACCGGATCCCCGGGTCTTCAGATACGGCAACCACACTGGGCTGACGAAACTACCACGTCTTTACGCTGTGCTGGATGACATCGCAAACGACTTGGAGAACAGAGTAGGAGGCTTCCCGCCTATTGAGTATGCAGTGAACAGTACGTCAGAGTACCTACTCAACATGGTCAGGGCTTTTCCAGCAATCTCCCCCGACCACTTCCCAGGAATATGCAACGCGCACAATGACGCTAGCAGCAGCAGCTCAAACTGTGCTGTTATGCCCAGCTCTTCAAGGAATAGCAGGGAGCCGTTTACAATACACAGCAGAACGATGACCCCTGAATTATCAAACTCGCTTTTGAATCAACCGCTGGAGAAGGGGAATTCTGTCGACAATCCTCTGAAAACAGAACAGTGCGACGAAAGTCTTATCAATGAAGAAAGGAATTAGAGACTAGATGTCTATAGACATCTATAGGCGCTAGATCTATGGTTTGTTATGCCGTGTCAATATAGGTATTGAATGTCCTGCATCTGGGAAAATGCAGAATTCGAGGGGGAAAACTATTGTCTCAATTTAAAAGAAGGGGACCTGGTCCTATAATCACAAAAAATATCTGGCTTCGCCCACGTATAAGGCAAAGCATATTAGGAAGCGGATACGCCTACTAAGCACAAGAATTGGAAGTCTGGAGGAATAAAAAAAAGCGAGATCAGATCAACTGATATCATCTGCTGGGGCTCCAAAGGTCTAGCCGCCACTCTGCTGCACCAGCCATTCTGTACTTTGAAAAGTCTTATTTTTGAAATCCTTTTAATCCGCGATGAATTTGTGGGAGTTGGTTTATCGGGCGCTGGATGGTTTGGTAAATTGGAAAAATCGCAAGTCGGAAGGATTAATCATGGTCGTTTTTGGTTATCGATAGGTACCGGGAGTGCAAAGGGCCTGTATATAATAATAGATCGCAATAAGTAGGTCGAAAATTGCAGTCTTTTATTCCGCGCTGTTGTTATTTCTTCCTGCTTGTGTAGATTGGATATCGAATTGGGGCTCGTTGGGGGAGGTTGGAAATACCATCGACATCAGATGCTCGGTAGTGCCTATTTTAGGTTTTGCCTTGCTGCAACCTTTCCCAAATGTGTTCACAGCAAGAGTGCCGCGGCAGTACATACATACGACTAGATCAGCCAAAGAGCATTCTCCCGTGCGCACGATTACACCGACCGATTTTACATTAATCAAACGCTGAAACGAGAAATGGACCCTTTTTCAGCTGAAGGAGGTAAGTTATTTCCTCCACCCTTTTTCCATTTCATTGGTTGTCCACAACTGACGCCTGAACCGTCCAGAGCTCCTAAACATCCACAATGCTTTCCACCAAGGCCAATATCAAGAAGTAGTCGATTTCGATACCTCCTCTTTCTCTCCTGAAAATAGCCTCACTGCTCGTGTTCTTAAACTGCGTGCTAGAATCGCACTCGGACAAACCCAGGAGGTCCTTGCAGATGTTGAGAGCCAAGATCAAGATGTACCTGATCTGGCAGCTGTTAAGGTGCTGGCGCAACATGTTGCGGGAGACGAAGCTGAAGCACTAAAAGGAGCAGAGGAACTTATAACGAATCACTCGGATAATACAACCACTCAGGTTCTTGTAGGAACAGTGCTGCAGGCCCAAGGGAAGAGCGAGGACGCCTTGTCGTTATTATCGAAACATCAGGGCAGCCTTGAAGCGTGAGTGGCATACGTGTCTACCATGACGTCTACAGCTATTATGTCGTCGCTGCTGCTGGAATAGATGTTCCGTGCTTGTTCGAGCGTCACACTAATTCTCATATCCTGCTTTCCAGCGTCGCCTTAATTGTCCAAATCCACCTCCAACAAAATCGCACGGATCTTGCGCTGAAGGAAGTCCAGGCCGCACGACGGTGGGCTCAAGATTCGCTTCTCGTCAACTTGGCTGAGTCCTGGGTGGGCTTGCGAGTGGTATGGCTCGAGATTCCTAGATGACCTCCCAAATTTTACCTACAACAATTCTTCTGACAATAACCAAACAATATAGGGTGGTGAAAAATACCAATCCGCATTTTACGTCTACGAAGAACTTGCCTCTGTGCCTAACACATCGTCACCGCTTTCAATCGTAGGCCAAGCCGTTTCTGAACTACACCTAGGTCGTCTGCCGGAGGCAGAAGTCGCTCTCCGATCAGCGCTGGAGAAATACCCCAACGACGTTCAATTAATTGCAAATTCGATTGTTCTGAAAGTGTTGAGCGGGAAAGATGCGACAGAGCTAACATCGTGAGTAACTCTTTTAGCGTTTGTAGTGTTGGAAAAGCGGGTGCGTTTGGACACCAGAGCGTATCACCAAAGCTAACCAAATCATCTCTCCTGCCGAAATTGCCTTCAAAGATCTCTTGAAAAGGCACAACCAGATCACCCATTCCTTACTGACCTGGCTGAGAAAAGCGCATTTTTCGATGCTGCAGCATCGAAGTACGCAGCAAAGGTGTCTTCATAGTATTTCTGTTCTTTATAATATAACCACTTCCATTTCTACGTTAACATCATTCATTTTTCTTGAAAAAAAATATTCAGCTGCTATTTTCGTCCTTTTTTTTCAGGTCTATACTCTTTCTTTCCGTGTCCACTTATGTAGTTCGCCAGGTTCAAGCCGTTTAAACTATAGAACAATCGAGCTTGATAAACTGAAATGATGCCAATGTGTCTTTCCAATATACTCAACCTGTATATGTGAAAATTTATGGATTTAATTTCTTAGCTGGCTGCAGTTCAGAGCTACACGATTTACACCACTACTCGACACCACGGTGAGAACTCAGTATTCATCATCCCGACCCCCTACGTACAGTACATTTCTGCGCCTCCACCATCCGTCGGACTCCGCTCATCAAAGTTTCGACAACAAAAACGACGCATATGCTTTCCCCTGCTCTGTTTCCGATTGATCACCGATCATCAAAGATATGATGGGGCCGTTGTGACATTCATCCTCGCCCACAACGAAAGTCGTGCTCGGGAATGCGGTCTGTTTGGGACAGGAGAACATACCATCAAGGGTTAATTTCCAAGCTTGATTAAAACCGAAAAAAACAAAAGGGAAACACAGCACTGACCTTGAACTTTTCAACGAACTGCTCAATAGGGGAACGGAATAAATCATCCGAGCCGGTCAAAATCAGCACATCCCTTACTTTAAGATCCTTCCACCAATCTGCTGGCGCCCTAAGCGGCTCCATATAATTATCCGGCTCCGAGCCTGCAGCGTACAGTGACGACCACATTTCCAGGGCCGAGGGCACAAGTATATCTTTATTCTTGTTCTCCTCGACAGAGGGATAATCCAGAGAGAACGAGACCCATGGCGAGATAGGCAAGGCGCCGGCTAGGGGCTCAGAAAGTTCCAGGGGTTGGATTGCCTTGTGCGGATGGGAAATATGGGAGAGAACGCCAAGCGAGAGATTACCACCAGCGGAGTCGCCTGCGATGAAAATGTCTGAAGGGCTACGGCTGGTTGTATTAATTATGTAACGGAGTGCCTCGACAGCTTGCGTAAGTTGGGTGGGGTAGACGGCTTGCGGAGTGAGGGTGTATGTAATGAAGAAGATGGCGATATCTTTGCCGGCAGCCTTGAGCTGGTTCAGGACGTCATATTGGAGCTGGAAAAATGCAGGACCAGCCGCAGTTGCAAATCCGCCGCCTATGATGCAAGGAGAAGGGCAGGTTAATGTCGAAAGGTATAAAGATACATGAACAATACACGGCAGGTGTTTGCGAGGACGGATGATTCAGGAAGCATACCATGGTAGTAAATCAAGACATTCTTCGCGTCTTTATTCCCGATCCAATGGCCCTGTGCGCCATGCTCTAACGGCACGGTCTGCGGTGTGAAACCATTTTTTGTTGCGAACAGTTCATATGCCTGATTTGTGAGGGGGTTGAGCGCCCTAGAAACGGAGGCTATCAAATGAGAAATACGTAAATAGCGGGATTGCAGGCGAAGACCCTGTTAGGGTCTTTAGGCAGCTATGTTCCGGAAAAGATTTATGTCACTTACTGCAGCTGCCGTGTCGAAAGTCGAGTAACCGCTGCTCTGATCACAGCATAGCGGACATGCTTGTTGTAATGCTTGTGCCCGCGCTGTCCGCGAAATACGCCAGCGATGGCCGCGTTGATTGCACTTGCAATCAACGAAAGCCCAGCCGAAATCATATTCAACTTCTCAACGACAGTGAGCTTAGGGGGATAACTGGCGGGATCCATCTTGATAGGGTCTGAGAGACAAAGTTAGCAGATTCCCTCGTCAACTCGAGCCAATTCCAAATGAACAGTTTTTGGGAAGAAATCGATGTCTTTGTTTCCAAGTACTAACTCTTCGATATTTATCTCTCGGTTTTGAAAATGTCTCCTCTCTCACGGGTATGAATCTGACAAATTGCAATGAATACAAGAGCAACTATCTAAGCCATATTTTGGCTAAAGCCGTTGTCAATCGGAGCTGGAACGAGCTCCAACCAAGGGGACGCTAGATTGCAAATTAATGAAATAAATGTTGAGGGCTGGAGGGCGATTTGTATGGCTATCCCCGTTTCCCATGAACTGTGAGCCCACCATCCATATCTTCAGGATATTATTATTATCGGGTAAGCAATATCATTCAACCAGCCAAGGACAGGGCTACCATATCATTTCGCATGTGCTGGAGGTGGATCAGGGTCTCTCGAGGTCCAGCCAGGCCCACGAAGCCTACAATTTGGTGAAAGGGTCGTCTTCATGGCAGCAGAAGCACCAGTAGCCCCAAGGCAATCGTGTCCTGGTTCCTCGGCTTGAACTGGAACTACCCTGTAAAGCCGCGGTTTCTAATTTCAAGGTTGAGATCGGATTAGAGTTACCGATCGATCTAGGGTTAGCTAGTTGGCATATAGTTAAATTACGTCACTAGTGTGCTTTGTTGTGCAGGCGGAGGAAGAGTTAACTACTGATTTTTCAAGAAATACGAGATGAATATCGCCTGCTTTGTTTTTGTCTCAATTTCCGCATTGTCTGCAAGCATTCAAACAGCTGCTTCTCTGGGTCTATCCCACCAGCTACGCAAGAAGAGCTCAGGATATAACAAAATGTTTCATCACATCGATAATTGCTTCTATTGTCCCAAAATAGTAGTTTTGATATTAAACCTCAGGTCAGAAGGGGGCATATTGAATGTATATAGAAGACGGAGGAAATATGATATCTCTCAGAGAAAATGGAAAGGGAAGTTCCAATGAACAGCCAACAAGGCATTCCGGCTTCACAAGCGCCCATTAACAACATCCTCAGAGCGGTCGAGTTCGCAGAACGCCTTGAAAGTAGTGAACGGCTGATCATCTCCCTCTGCCACGGTGCTCTCTAGGACACACTCAGCGTTTGCCCCAATAAAATACACGTAACCCTCCTTGACTTCTTCTGTTTTGGCAGGCCCTACGCTTATCTTTCCCTGACCATTTGTGCAGATGAGAATACTGGGGCCATTGATGGCTTCAAAGGTCGCCTTAGCACCGCCGCGCTTCAGCTCTGTCCTGACGACAGCGAACTCGTCGATGGGCGGGTTATAGAGCAAGGATGTCGAATTGCTTGAATATGCAACCGTGTTCATTGTCATATAGGGGTATTCCGTGGGCTCCATCTTCTGTTCTTCGATAGGCGCGTAGTTGTAGGTGAGCATGTTCGCTAGGGTGGAAACATCTTTGAATTTGGGTGTAAATCCAGCTCGAACGACGTTGTCAGACGAGGCCATGCACTCTATGATGTCTCCGGAGATGTATGCATGGATATCATCTGCCTTGAGGAACATCGCTTCACCTGGGGACAATTTGACGAAATTAAGGAAGAAAAATACGAACAGCCCAATGTCGTTGGGGAACTGGCCATTTAAGCGTGTTGCTACCGCCGCCAACTCCTCTGGGTTCGAAGGATTGGTTGAAGGTGTCGATTCTGAAATGGCAAATGTGGTTGGAAAGTCTTTGGCAACCGAAATAAGTTTCGCTGCAGCAGCAGATATGGACTCCGGTGTAGATGTCATTAACTTTGTAAACAAAGTCTTTAAAGCAGCTTTGTTCCTTTCCGTGATAATAGGATCTGTGGATACTTCTTGCCCACGCACTGCATTTTCGAATGTCTCAGCAGCTTCCGGCCCTACAAGCTCTCTTAGGGGCTCTAAGACACGAAGGAAATGGACAATTTCAGCCAAGGGCCGGAAGCCACAGAGGCCCTCAAAAGGTGTGATAGCAATTGTCATCTCCGGCTTGTGATTATCATCTGGGGGAGATATTAATCGATATTTAGGGTTTATATTTGTCAATGAGTTACTAACCAGGGTAGTTCCGTGGATCCTTCTCGTGAAGTGTCGCTGCCAGTTTTTTGTTTGGATGTGCTTGAATCGAGAGCGCTTTCCGGATAGAAAGAACCTTGAAGAGGAAAGGCAATTTCCCTCCATATCGCCTAGTGATTTCTTGCGACATCAATTCTTGGTTGTCTTGCACCAGGTCCAGCAATGTCCGTTGGGTTTCGAAATCTTTGGAAGGCAGTGAGGGATGGGTGCCCATCCAAAGCTAGCGAGGTAAAAATAACTATCAGTGTCCGACAAAGCAAGATCCAAACCATTCAATCGGAATCAAAGTACCTCTGCATACGGCCTCTCATCCTGGATAGAAAGGTTGCTTGAAGGTGTCGCTGCAGCGTACCTTGCCGCAGCAGATTCCTGGCCGATCTTGCCTAGATGACATCCGCAACATGAGTGACAGGATTGAATATAGAGAGGTTATAAAAATGAATATATACCCCAATCGTAACTATTAACACCTATTTAATAGCAAGCAATGTCAGCAGCAGACAATGGCTGGAGGCCGCAAGTTCAAAATGAAACTTACCACACTGCAGCCGGAAGAGGGGCACCTGCATTTTGAAGGAGGAGGGTGGAAGAGTTCAGGAAAGGTTAACTGCCGCTCAATTGATTATAGAAAATTAGCAGGAACAAGGCATCAAGGTAACAGTGCCGTTGTGCGTTTCTATTCCCTGTATCTTCAACTAACACAATTGCTCTTCAGTCCACTCCTTCAATCAATGCGAAGTGACGTGGGCGTGAAGGGGATTCCCTAGCTTAGCTAATCCCCAGCTTACCTGACTCCGCTCTCGTGACTGGAGCAAGCCCTAAGGCTAGACCTTGTTACAATGCCCAATCAAAGCCGCCGGCTGCCGAATAGGGCTAATGATGACGTCCATGTACCGGCCCTCGTTTTCTCCGCGAGAAATGGGCGTACCATATCAGCTACTCCTGCGATCCCAGCATCTTTGATTTCTTCGGCAACACTTCGGATACATACCCCAGATTGTGGAGGATCGGATAGCAAGAGCGGTGAGCTCAATCCAGAAGAGTGCGGTTGTGGGATTGCGACGAGCCCAAAACCATCCTTACCCGCCTCTGTCCGTGCTACGGCATATACCCCTACACATACCCAGTCGGCAGTACGCACACGCAAACAAACAGAGGGCAATTTCGAGCTTCAAGTATTATCAGGTTCGGAGTGGGAAGCTGTTGATATTGCTAAAGCCAGGGAAGCTGAAGAAAAGCAGGCAAAAGCAAAGAGCAAGAAGGGCCCCAAGGCCCTCAGCAACCTTCAGTTGAATTCCGAACGTGAAGAGCGGAGAATGTCACGAAACAGACCAAGAGGCCCTCCCACCCGGGACAACGGTGCGGCTGCCAATGAGGAAATTGAAATGTGGAATCGAATACGTCAAGATATATTCAAGGCTGCTGAGAAAAATGAGAAACAAAAAGTCCCAGGGCTCCAACTAGCTGCGCTAAAGGAGAAAATTACAAAAGCCAACCGAAGTGAGTGCACAATTTACATTTATTTTCCTTCCCCATGTCCTCCTCCTCCTCTACTTCTTCAACTTTTGTTTTTATCTTGTATCAGTGTGGCTATGTTAGAATACTTGTTGTTGTTAATCGGCTATGATTGTCCCTTGGAATTTGACTATTCCATCTCTAGCACAGTTGTTTCCTCTATGTCCTTCTGCAATCTTAAAGTCCACTAGCTAGTTTCAGATCGCATGGACAAACTTCACTCTTTTTTGGGCGCGGAGGGGGGAGGGGGAGGCCGCGGGGCGGGGGGAACTATCTGCTAATGACTGGGTTTCAGAAGCCACGCCATCTGAGCTTGAACAAATGGAAAACTACGAGCGTATCATAAACAAGTACAGCGAAGAGGAACGTGCTATCTTACGTGATGAGCCAGCAGATGTCATTAAAAACCTCGAGATCCTAATCGCCCTACGCTCAGCGTCCGAGGCTGACCCTCAGCCCCGCACCGGACCCGCTGGCAAGCCACGGAAACGGAAGACAGAATCTGATACCCCAGCTTCCGATTCTCCCACCACTTCGATGGCCGATAAGCTAAATCGGCTCAAAAGCAGCACCCATAGAAGCGCTAGCGTCTCAAGCAACCAAGCCCGTGAAGCGGTTTCTGTCAAGAGTGAGGATGGAGGTGAGGGCACGAAAGGTACCGCAGCAGAAAAAAGTGGACATCTATTCGTTGGGGCAGAAGTTGTTTTCAAACACAACAAGAAGCAACAGGGTGTGGAGGGTGAAGGCATACAATGTATCATCAAAAGCATAGCGGGGGAAGGTCATAAGAAACGGTAAGCCCTCGCAGCAGCTCCACCGGGTTTCATTTTTGTGTTGACAACAGCCCCAGTTACGATGTCCAAGATCCGGAACCCAGCGAAAACGGCGAGGAAGGTGCGGTCTATAAAACATCTGCAGCTTCACTAATTCCCATTCCCCAAGTCGGCGCTTCACTGCCTTCTTTCTCCGTTGGAAAGCAAGTCCTCGCCAGGTATCCCGATACCACAACATTTTACCGTGCCGAGGTAATGGGCTCCAAGAAGGACGTATATCGATTGAAGTTTGAGGGAGAGGAGGACGACAAGGAGATGGATGTCGACCGCCGCTTTGTGCTCGACATTCCCGGAAAATAATAAGGCTGGCCTTATTATTTGACAACACGGCCTCTTCATAGTCGGTACTTCTATGTACTGTCCATTGGAGTGCACGTACGGTTAACTTGTGTAGCAGCACTTATTCGTTTGTGTTTCATATCTCTGGTTTTGTTTCGGGTGTGGTTGCGATCTCATTCTAGGATTGGCACACCTAGTGGTGTTGGATACAGGAGGTGGGATTGGGTTTTTGATATGGGTCCAAGTGCTATTGGGACTGGAGTATCGACTTGCATGTCTTTTATTTCTATTGAATTTTGTATACGGTGGTATCCTGTTTATGTTTCCTATGAAGAAGGACTAGTAATATCAGGACCACACAATTTAACTTTCAAATTTTGCGAATTGGGGTCGGCTTGAATACCGTCTAGGAATTCCTAACAGCACCGTTCTCATCCTGGAACCTAACTTCGCCGTCAGAAGCGTATGTATGGCTGACTCAGCCGGACCGAGGCTCCATCATGACTGACAAATTCGAAATATTGTTCCACGCTCGTGGTATTGACATAAAACCTTTCCAAGATTCATTCTCCTATCCATTGTTGTATTGGGTGTGCTAATGCCATAGCTACCCTATAAATTCCAACCATTGCACTGAATGTAATTTCCAAAATGTCAGAGCTTCCCTCTCATGCCTCCCCATGCCTCTCCCCGCGGCCCCTCCGTCCAACTAAGCCGACGGCCACCAAATACTCACTTCCCGAAGGCCTGAACAATGCGCGTACATCCTCTCCCTCTTCACCGACCCGCGATCGATCGCTCAGCGACGGCAGCACCCAAAGTACGCACGACTACCTCGAAATCCCCAGTCAAACGAACACTCCTACGATACCACACTCCCTTATTTCACCCGCTTTCACCCCTCCAGCTACCCCTTACAGCCTCACAAATGCTTATCTGCCGACCAAGTTGTCGTCATCGACAACAGAGTATAGAGATCGCATGATCAATACGAAGCCACCCAAATTGCTACCACGCCTACCAAAGGTTGAATGTATCGTTCGTGCGCGTATCCCGACAACGGGGGGTGCGGAAATGTTTCTGCATCTCTATCACAATGATGTGGATAATAAGGAACACTTGGCAATCGTGTTTGGAAGCTCGATTCAGAGCCGGAGTTTGAATAGAGTGCGACCCGGGGAGACGGAGATGGATCGCATGATTCGTGGGGCGTATGTGGGGAGATTGTATCCGGGGAGGCAGAATAGCAGGGTTGATGGAGGAATGGTTGACAGAAAAAGCTCGTATGGCTCTCAGGGAGCTGCGCGGAAGGAGTCTTCAACGGGTGGCGTGGATTCCCTGGGGCAGGTGGTGGATGGGCCAGTGCAGAAGAATGAAATGGCAGATCAGAGCAAGCAGATACCGGCACAAGTTCCTCTTGTCAGAATACACTCAGAATGCTACACAGGCGAAACCGCGTGGTCGGCACGGTGTGATTGTGGAGAGCAATTAGATGAAGCAGCAAGATTAATGTCGGAGGCCACTTCATCCTATGCGCAGAGCGCCGGTGGCGTGATTATATACCTACGCCAGGAGGGCCGTGGCATTGGCCTGAGCGAGAAGCTGAAGGCATACAATTTGCAAGATCTGGGGAATGACACCGTTGAGGCCAATCTTATACTTCGACACCCTGCAGATGCTCGCAGCTATGGTTTGGCAACCGCGATGCTTGTGGATCTCGGGCTGGGAGCTGACTCCCAGAACAATAATGGGATTCGTTTATTAACGAATAACCCGGATAAAGTCATTGCTGTTGAAGGTCCCAATCGTGAAGTCATTGTGAAGGAGAGAGTTCCCATGATCCCGCTGGCATGGCGATCAGGCGGACAGAAAGGCATCCGGAGTTCGGAAATTGAGGAGTATCTGAGGACTAAAGTGAGTGGTTTCATGTCTTACTGCGTTTCCTTTCCTATCTCTCTTATAGCTTTTCATCCTTTTCTATTTCATAACTAATAATCATCTCTACATTCAGATCGGGAAAATGGGACATATGCTCGAGTAGCCCTTTCATACCCAGTTGGAATCGAGTATCTCTATTGCAGTTCTTGAGAGTTCTATAGCGGTATGAATAACCTTATGCTCATCTCTTTGCTCCATTGTTATATGGATGTTTGCATCAGGCAGTGTTATAGCCCGATTTTTGTTGAATGATCATCCCCTTTCCGCATTATGGACGTAAATACGATATATATGATACCGCTATATCCGCTTGCATCGATGATTTTTGTTTCCTTGCCTCCTTCCTCACTATTTCCGTTTTTTTTTTTTTTTTTGCTTTTTTTGTTGGTTGGATTCGCGATATACTTATCATCACGTTTCAAGCGCATTTCAACTTTCACTTCACTGTATATCCATGTGCCTTGACGTTTTCCCAACTTCTAGCATATAGATATGGATTTAGTAGCAATAAATGAGTTCTCCGATACGCGTAATGTATACATCTAGTAGTGCCACACATCATTGGTATGCTTCATTTCATCCACACTTTTTTTAAGCTCGATCTTCCTCCCTCTCTGAGCCTTTTTACAATGTTTCTGTGAATACCAGCATTTGTCTGGTGTCTGGGGTCTGTATTCCAAAGTGCATTGTGGAGACTACAAGTGGTCAAAAATGGACTTTGATTTAAACAATCACTTATTGTTCGGATACGATATGAAATACCCGGTGCAGGCCTATATTTGACCTAGTATCCACACATCTCTTCATTATGTCACCCTTTCAAGATATTGTAGAAGGTCTCCGCAAGACTACTCCAAGAAAAGACATCTCGTATCAATTTCAAAATTTAAAATGCGACATCAAAACACATCTTGACAGCGGTCCGTTCCAAGTTCTCACGCCTCCCGAACACGTTTCTCTAACTGATCCCAAAACCTCAGACTTGCGCTTCCTCCCCCTCGCAAAGAGCAATTTCGTATTGGGATCCTTCACAATTGGTAACTCCAACTTCCAGTCAGACAGGATGATATCTACATCAATCAGCCCAGCACGGGCAAACATACTCTTCATTCGCTCAAGTGAGAAAGTCGGGTGGTCGTGAGAAATAGTGTCCCCTCCGGATTGAGGCGAGCTTGAAGTGGTAGCAGCATCGGTATGATCGTGACTGTGGCCGTGGCTATCATCATGGCAGCGATGATGATGGTGGTGATTACAGCCCTTCCTTTCCCCGCATTTCGGCTCTGAAGGCTCTTCTGGCTGTAGCAAATCTATTGCCAATAGCACGCCATCGTTCTTTAACCTCTTTACCAAATTCACAATCGCGGCCTCCGGGTTTTCCATGTGATGTAGCGCCAGGGCTACCCCCGCGAAATCGAAGTTGAAGAACTCCTCCTGAGATAGATCGGCTGTCGGAACATCTTCTGGTTTGGAGAATTCTTGGGTAGACCCGGACGAGAGGTCCCCCTTCACCGCGTACATTTTCTCCTGAGAAAGGCCTAGATGCAGGGCAGTCTCGTTGTACTTCTTAACCATGCCGGGAGCAATGTCGATACCGACATATTTGGTAAAAAAAGGCTGGTAAATCTTTGGAATGGTAAGTTTTGCAATGGTAAGCTTTTGGTACATCTTCTCGGATCAGGGAAAGCGTGACACTGCATATAAAAACATCCACTAGTTATATGCATCATAAGTCGAAAGCTAAGCCAAAACTTACTTTGGTCAAAAATCCATCTCCGCAAGCATAATCCAGCATTTTCCTCTCTGCAACTTTAGTACTTTGTGCATGATCATTGGCAATGCCCAACCAATCAATGTTCTTCTCTAAATATGCGCGCAGCTTCGCGTGGAAGTCTAGGACCCATGGTTCGTTGAAGATGTATTTGGCAGAGTTACTAGATTGGGGTGGTTTGGAATAAGTTCTCTAAGAGTTCGGCGGCAGATGAGTTGATGGGGTAGAGTTCGTTGGGCTATATGTTCTGATCCTACCTAAAGAACTTTTCGTTGGCAGCAGCCAATGTCCCTGGGGTTCTCGCAACGTTTGGGGATGGTGAGTGATCAGATGGCATGGTTGGAAATAGAAGTTCTTGGGCGGAGAGGCTTGTGAAGCGATAGATATGCGAGGGGTTGAAATGATGGAAAGCAACGGACCGACAAAGTTGTGCTAGCATATATGTATATGTACATATACATATGAGTTTCATGGAAGCTAGAGATATAAACAATGATTTCTCTGATAAAATAATATTTTGAGAAGGGGGAAAGTCGGTCCTATTTAAATGTTTCGAAGGGAAGCTCTATGCAGTTCGAGCTTGCGAGGCACGCCGGTTGATAAACGAGATGACCAACCACAAAACGGCTTTCGTCCTATTTCAGTAGTTAGTCCTAATTCCTCTCACCTACGCCGTATACGTGCCTATTTCCTTCTCTTAAGGTCCCCATACCTTTAGCAATACTGCGTATATCGGATTCTCTGACTTCTTTTCTTAGAAAGTTGGAGTAGATATTCATCAAGGTCGATGTTGGCCAATAAGAGCCAAACTAAAACGCCACTCGGGGACTTTTTAGGTGGTTATATCAAAATATGTTTCCGACACTAGTACCAGATCTAGCTAGACTCATATCTTCCAGATATCTCTCCTGGTGTTTTAACTGAAGGTTCCGCCTATGCTTGATGATTTCAAACAAGAAGTTATGGATCGCATTGCGTGTACTGGTGTAGTTCTAGAAGGTCCGTATTTGTAAGCTTCCGCATAGCCCTGGCTATTCATTGCTAATAGTTGTGTTTCGAAGGGTCAGAAACACGAGAGAATAACTCTAGTCTGTTAGGAAATGCAGCCTATCCGCGTGGATTTCGGACGTGAATATTTGATTGTGCATGCGTTTCGAAATCTTGTCATGTCTCAAGGCTCCGTACCCAGGGCGACGAGAGTTCAGGTTTTAACTCTCCTAAGCAGTACAGGACAAATCAAATTAACATTGACATGTATGCTTGTGGCTTCGCAGGAAGATACCGTTGCTCAAGGTGAAGAATTATGAAAAACAACAATGAGTGAATTTCTATGATTTCGAGGCCATTGCTAAGAGTTGGGATATGAGAATTGAAGATTGGAGCCTTTGGTTTAGGCGTGTATTTATACCAGCCAGTTCAGCTTGATAGGCGGAATAGCAGACGTAAAAAGTTCGACAACGTCTTCTATAGGTCCGAGCTGTTTCCAGATGGACAACACATGTACTGTAGGTATACGTCTTGAAATAAACCTTCCGACAATCGATATAATGTGTTGAGAATCGCGAGGTCTGCTAATGAATGTTCTTTTATGCTATGCATATCAGCCGGGGGAAATGCAGTGTGCCATAGGGAATTAATAGCCCATGGCAGCTAATCGATGCTCAGACTGATTGGGAAGCTTGCATCTAGCTGTCGGGTTAGATAACGTTAGAGATATTGGGAGATTGAGTTTCTTCTAAACTGATTTCTAGAGCACCCTGGGTAGCACAGACGGAGCGAAGTCAACAAATGTAAGCGCTGCATCCTCTCAAGCGGGATGAGTAGCTTTGAGAGCTTGTCCTTTCTTTCGAGAAACTCCAGTGAAGACGTAATATTTTCGGCACGGGAGTGCATCCAGCTTTTGCTCAAATCAGATCGCGCACCTTGCAATATTGGGGTACTTGACTGTAATTAATCTGCCAGTTACCTATCTTATTAACCTGACGATCCGAGGCAGTGTTTGGGGGAAAGAAACGCGTTAATCAGGAGCTGGCTTAACTCACTCGTTCGAGAGAGACTACTGAGACAGAGTTCGAGTGGTGAGCCGAAATCGGGAATAATGGCGATGCTCCAGGGAGTCCCAGAATTGCACTTATGTGCTAGTAGTTATCTAGAACCCCAACCAGACTTCTGCCAACAGGAAGTTTTGAAATGTAGTGTCCGATTCTGAATGTTGTTCGATCGCCCCGCTGTAAGAGAGTCGGTGGCGCTGTGGACAAGCAGTGCCGAGAAACTACCGCGGCTCGACGTTCATCGGCCTCAAGAGGCGGCGCAAGCTCTATTGATCGTTCAGCTGGCTGGCCTCAATTTGCCTGCAGACTGCCCGGGGCTCTACCAGCTGTTTTGTGACAGGAAGGAAGAGCTTGACTTTCTTTTTCACTGTTTGTGTGTGCGGGTTTATGTACTTCAGTCCCTGAATCGAGCCCCTCTACCCCCTGCACGCCGGGATTTTTCAGTAAATATCGCATCCACAGAGCAAAGAATATATTTCCTTGCCATCACCGGGATAAACCCCCTGCAAACTGCTTGGAATGGTTCATATCTCTCACAGGGCTAGCTCGCATTCCGTCGATGAGGCATGACGGGCTACAGTCGCCAGCATGAATCCAACGATGGCCCCCCTGCCCAGTCGACGTATTCCGACCTCAACGCCACCTACAGCCTGACCGCAGTTCCCCCGGAGAGCAAAGGCAACCCAATGCTACGCAATCCCAATTTGATGGCTGGGAGGAAGAAAAAGGCCGCCGTCCCTACACCGTCTCGTGGTGTTGCCAACCTCACGCCGGAGCAGCTGGCGAAGAAGCGAGCGAATGACCGTGAGGCGCAGCGCGCAATCAGGCAAAGGACAAAAGCCCAGATTGAGACTCTGGAACAGCGGGTGCGCGAGCTAACCTCGCAACAACCATACCAGGATCTTCAGGCTGCGTTGGGCCAGAAACGCGCAGTCGAGAAGGAAAATGAGGAGATTCGGCGGATTCTCTCATCCGTGATGGCGATGATCCAGCCGATTGTAAATGGTGTCCCTCCGCCGTCTTCAGAAAATATCACTTCTCGTTCTTGTGATAACATAGCGGCGCCCAATGGCACTGGCTCCGAACGTCATCCATGGTCAGCCGAATCGCACATTGAACCACCCTCTCCCGTTTCTCATTCTGAACTCCAGGCATCCCGTCTTTCAACGATAGCACACCAAGACTCTTCTCTTCGCACAGCAGCAGAGAGTCTGGATTTGGGTACAGGGCCGGGTATGTGCGCTGTCAATTCCCCACGGAGCATGGAGCCTCTTTCTCCTTCAACCACCGAATCTCCAGGATATGCACTCCGCCCAAATTGGCATGCGAATTCCGTTTCCACAGGTCAACCCGAACCCCGGTACCCACTCACCCATGGCTTCAACTCCCAACGACAGGAACTTTCGCATGGACTAGACTTCTCGGGATCGGGAGAAAGACTAGGGTTCAATTTCCTCGTGGATTCCGCCCGACCCGTCCCAAAGATCCCCCAGCCTCAGCGGAACCCATCCTCTCCAGCCTTTAACGATTCGACCCGTTTTCGCAATCTTCACTCGTCTCAAAATGATCTCTTCGACCCAAACATCGCCCCCTACACGGTCCCAGTTCGCAATGTGGATCCCACTTGTCCCGTGGACCTCATTCTTTTGGACTTTCTTCACACTCGCCAACGCGAGGCGGCAGAGGGCGCATCCAAACAAATTCTTGTAGGACCGCCATACCCCAGCGTTTCATCTCTCCTCAACCCCGCAAAAAGCGCATACTCTCACCCCCTCTCAAAAGTCTTCACAGACATTCTCAGCAAATTCCCAGGTATCAGCAATCTTCCCGAGCAAGTAGCCGTACTGTACGTGATGTTCCTCCTCATGCGTTGGCAGATATATCCGACTCAACAGAACTACGACCGTCTCCCGGAATGGCTCACCCCGCGCACTTCCCAAATAATGACACCACATCCCGCTTGGATAGATTACCTTCCCTGGCCACGCATGCGAGATCGTATGGTTGCTTCGTACCAAGATTACGACTTTCAAAACTGGTTCATCCCATACACCACGACGCTGAGCATAAATTGGCCATACGAGGCGACCGACACACTTCTCTCAACATCAGATTCCGAAGAGCTCATTATCAATCCGGTCTTTGAGCGGCATTTGCGGAACTTGAATAACTGGTCCCTGGGTCCGGTCTTTGCCAGGGCATATCCGGGCCTCGTCGATACGACGAGGATCGTTCCTGAATTGAGGGACTACGGGAATCCTGCGGCTGGCAAATCAGTTGAGTGAAGCACGGAGAGAAAAATACTGCTCGGATCATGAGTCTAAGTTCCTATACATACTTACTACTTGCACTAAAATGTACGAGTATCACTCGTTATTAACTAAACCAATTATCATGCGCTCATAAACTCTTGCTTCGCTGGGCCTTCCTGTCAGGAGAGGAGAAAAAAACCCTATATTAATTTTTACGGCCTTGTAGGATCTATCACTATGCTCATAGATCAAGGTCATGCTGATTGTGTATATTTTAACATTCAAACAAAGGAAATGAAAGAGAATGAAATGACCACCTTGAAAATGAAAACAAAGTAAACCAGAAAAATATATCTGAATCAAAATCAAAATGAAATGAAAGCAAAATTCGAGGAATGATGCTTGTGCATTTGTGAGCTGCCTGGGCAATTTGCAGTAGTATATGTATGTATAGGTTCGGGGTATATAAAATGGGTAAGATAAGGAGGACGGTAGGCCTGAGAAAATATGAATATGGCATAGCAGTCTTATTCTTTCCCCCTTCATTTCCAGATCATGGTTATCATTTCAGTGTGTCCTTGGGGATGACAATATTTTTAATACTTTCTAGGGTGCACCAAGAAGGGCTCGGAAAAGCGTTTCCATTGTTTTACCTCCAAATTAAGGAATTGAATTCTCTCTTTCTACAGAAGTCATATGTTCTGGTTTTATTCTTTTCATTTTCTTAATTATTACTATTCATTTAATCATTCCAGTGTTTTGCTTTGGATTTGTATATATCTTGTCTTTTTCTTCATTTTTATATGGTTGGAAAGTTCCCTCCTTATTCTCTGAACCAATGCGTGATAAAACGGTGAATCCACAATAGAAATCGGTGGTCGAGGAGACAGCAGTCAAAGTGTAGGCGGAATCCTAGCTTGAAAATATATCCATAAAGATCTAGGATAAATAACGTGCTGTAGCCGTCTTGTCGACTCAATAGTGACAAGATATATCAAGAGTTCGAGGAGGAAGAGCGCTAAACCTCATTGGGAACCACATCGTCACCTCCATGAACCCTCAGTCCCAGACAACTCCGACAAATTGAACAGACAACGCCGCTACGAACCACCCATTCCGACCACCGTTATATATCTACCCTGTGGACAGTTCTTCAGTCTGCCGTTTGCCGATATAACGCATCGCGACCATGGCGGAGGCCCCCATTGGTATATTTAAGCCCAACCTCATTTCCCCGCAGCTAACAGCCACTAACACCGCGATATACAGTTCTCGATGGAGGTACTGGCTTCCTGAAAGTCGGATATGCGGGACAGGTACGGGATTTCCCGATGATGTGCTTGGCCTCTATGAACATCTATCGCTGATACTGGGGTTCCAATTCGAATTGAACTAGAACTTCCCCGAACACCAATTCCCTTCGATAGTGGGGCGGCCGATTCTCAGATCAGAGGAACAGGCTGGAGATATTATTGTAAAGGATATTATGTGTGGTGATGAGGCTGCTGCCGCCCGATCAATGCTGCAAATTAGCTATCCTGTATGTGTCCCTCTCCTATCTTCACGCCTGTTCTTAATGTTTGCCTTGATGCGCTTGGATCGCTAATCCGTCGTGCTACTTCATTTATAGATGGAGAATGGAATTGTAAAGAAGTGGGATGACATGCAACATCTATGGAATTATACGTTTTACGATAAAATGAAAATTGATCCCACCGGCCGGAAGATCCTCCTGACCGAGCCACCGATGAATCCCCTTAAAAACAGAGAACAGATGTGCGAAGTGATGTTTGAGGGTTACAACTTTGGAGGAGTATATGTTGCTATACAGGCGGTTTTGGCCCTTTATGCACAAGGTAGGTGTGCCATGGACCCCGCGAAATGCGAACAAGGATGTGAAAAATCCTGACGTTGGAACGAAAAATATAGGTCTCAGCAGCGGTGTGGTCGTTGATTCAGGCGACGGCGTCACACACATCGTGCCGGTCTACGAATCCACTGTGCTAAATCACCTAACACGCCGTCTAGATGTTGCTGGTCGCGATGTTACCCGCAACCTCATTGCTCTCCTTCTCCGCCGCGGCTACGCACTTAACCGTACTGCTGACTTTGAGACAGTGCGCCAAATCAAAGAGAAGCTCTGTTATGTATCCTACGACCTGGAGCTTGATCAACGTCTTTCAGAAGACACAACCGTGCTGGTAGAATCATATACTCTTCCAGATGGCAGAGTGATCAGAGTTGGTAGTGAGCGATTTGAAGCGCCCGAGTGCCTCTTCCAACCGCATCTTGTTGATGTCGAACAACCTGGCATAGCAGAATTTTTATTCAACACGATACAAGCCGCAGATGTTGATGTGAGAAGTAGTTTGTACAAGGCTATTGTTCTTAGTGGGGGTAGCAGCATGTATCCCGGCCTGCCGTCGAGACTTGAAAAAGAGCTGAAACAACTCTGGTTGACAAGGGTGCTGCAAGGGAATCCAGAAAGACTAAACGTGAGTCTTATTTTGGAAAGGGGGATGCTCGATATATTATTCCCACTCAACTCACTCTCATACACTAACCATCTTCGATATATACAGAAATTCAAAGTCCGCATCGAAGATCCACCTCGAAGAAGACACATGGTCTTCCTTGGGGGTGCAGTCCTTGCGAACCTTGTAAGCATTCCCCCGTTCCTAGCTCCTATGTATTATGACCTATAGACTAACCATTCTTTCCTTCCCACGCAATGCAGCTCTCAGACAAAGACAACATGTGGATTTCCAAAGGAGAATGGCAAGAACAAGGTCCCCGTGCCCTCGAAAAACTCGGCCCAAGATAGCTTTTATCTATTCAATATTATTTAGCCCTTTTTTTAAAAAAAAAGAAAAGGAAGTCTTGAACTCATGGCTACAAATGGGATCTACTAGGTACGGTACATATGAGCAATGACCCTCGGTCTCACTGGGGAAAAAAGAAAATATATTAGTTCTGGCATTACGCTTTCACGACACCCTGCGCAATCTAGAATTAGCTCGTTCCTAAATATCACTTTCCGCTCCACAGCGTCTTCCTTATGATTCATTGCTACTTTTCAACCCTTGCACATTCGTGCAGGGGCGCCATTCTTCGATGTCCAGATTAGAGCGCCTGTTTTATTTTATTTTATTATCGTTCTCTCCCCCCCCTCCCCCGTTACCTTAACTTTTGTTGTATTTTGTTCGTTTTCCCATTTCGTTTCGTTTCGTTAGTTTTGAAGGCCTTTTTTAACTACATTTTTTCTTCTTTTCTTTCCTTTCTGTAGCGTACAATATAAATATACAGGGGATATATATATTATCCGATATCAAAACCTAAAGCCGCTGGCAGCGCCAACCTAAACCCCTTCCTTCCAAGCTAATTCTTAAGCAACTTGACAAATAGCTGTGAATGTGATACATATAGCGAGGGGCATTGTCGCATCATCGTGGGGGTTTCCAAAGGGAAAAGAAAAAGGGTAGAAAAAGGAGATGAGATCACAATGAAATTGATAAATAATATACGTAAATATTATGAATATATGTATATACCTAACAAATCACCGGGGTGCGAACCGGCCACTTAACTCGTTCACCACGCACCCATCCATCCATCTATATGTCGAGATCTATCGTTAGCAATAGCAATTCGTCCCTTAAGATTATCTTAACTCCACATGTTAACCACAATACGATTTCACACCCTAAGTCAAGGACATGTACATCATGTATATAATTTCGA